ATGTTTTTTCAATATGTAAATGTTTTTAAAACTTTTCCCACAAATTTCACAATTAACCCTCTCGCATGGCTTCTTAGTGAGTCTGGTAAGTTTTTTCACAGATATGTTGCGGTCAAATGATTTTGGACACATGGTACATAGAAATGGATAATCCCTGATTGTTAATACCTTATTTTGATTGCTTGTTGCTACTTTATGTGAGCATTTTGGTACTAAATGCTTACTTTTTGGTACTGACTGAGTTAGCATAAAACTGGCTTTGTTTTGGGGGAAAATTATTGGTGGCTTCAACTGTTTCAATATTTGCTGCATTTTTTAGGGTTTGGCTGTTTTGGTTTGATGATGTTGCTATGCATAACTCCGTATTATTCGTTACTATGGGCAATTCATGTTTACTTGCTGTTACAGATGATTTAGGATTGATGGTTACTGTGTTGCAATCAGGATTATTGGTTGATTTGGGAAATGCAGATTTACTACTACTTGTTACTTTGAGTATTTCTTGTTTACTTGTTGCTATAGGCAATTCACACTCACCTGTTGCTAGGGCTATTTGTAATTTAATACTCCTGATACAAAGTTCAGATTTCCTTGTTGCTATAAGTGATTTTAATACACTGGTTGCTAATGGTAATTCACCTTGACTGCTTGGTGGGTGTAATTGTAGATTACTTGTTACTTTGGATGATTCAGATTTACTTGTTGCTATGGGTAATTCAGGTCTTGTTGTTAGTATCGGTAATTCAGGTTGACTTGTTGCTATGGTTATGTGGGGTTTACTTGTTATGGTTATTTTGGTTTTATTTATTTTTAATATGGATGGTTCGTGTTTGCTGCTTGCTACAGGTTGTTTTAAAAAAGAAGGTGAGACATTGTTGTGGTATAATCTGGTGGCTTCACATGCCTTTGAAATCGTTTCCTTAGCGATCTGGTTGACAGATCATGTTGAACTTCCATGACCTTCACCATGATCACCTGCCAAATAAGTATCTGGTGTCAAATCTATTGGTTTTAATGATTTACACACATTTACTACAGTGTTGCTACTGGTTACCGTATCAGACAAGATCTGGTTACATAACGACACAATCTGTTCACAGTAAGAATCATTTATACCAGATATTTTAGAGAAAAGGGAGATAAGTTGTTTGATGGTTGTATTATGATTTATGACCAGACTGTGACAGGTTTGTATAATACTGTTGACATCTATCTTGGATATTAATAGATGAGTTTGTACCACTTGATTCAACACACATGTTGAACTCATTGAAGTAGAATGTCCACAAATTAGTCTTTGACTTGATATTTCTTCCTCTTAATCTGGCTTTCTCCTGAAGAAACAAAAAAATTGTTTACAGATAAAGTTGTTGGTAAAGAGGGGGGTTGGTTGGTCGAATGGTTAGCACATGCATGCTGTATCATAAGGCCTGTCATTGAGTCAACTGGCGTGGTTTCGAATCCCCGGTTGTACGTGACAAGTAGGGTTGCCTGTCCAATCTCATGGGTTTTCTCTGGGTCCTCCGGTTTCCTCCCACTGCTAAAGACACCTATGTGCAAGCGAATTATTGAAATAAAATTAAACCATGTTAAACCCCATTTCTCTCTCTCTCTCTTGGGTAAGAAATGGAAATATCTGTATCCTAAACCAAGCATTCATCTTAAATTTGTATGAACAATAAAATAACTAACAAAACAAACATATAAATGAAATGAAATGAAATGGGGTTTAACGTCCTACTCCTATACTGGGCTAATAGTAATGAAGACGGGAAAACAAACATATAAATTCGCCTTCTAGTTCTTGGCGGTATCCAGACCAGTCGGACCAAAGACCACTCGGACCAAGACCAATCGGACCAAAAAAAAGATCAGTCAGATCAAAACAGAGACCACTCGGACCAACCCAAAAGACTACTCGGACCAAACGAAAAGACCACTCGAACCAATTAATTCATATTGTAAGACCATTCGGACCAATTAAATTATATTATAAGGCTTGACATTTATTTTAAAAATAAAATACAGACAATATGTTATTTATTATTAAATCACAATACAAAGAGGCGAATAATTTATAGGTAAATTTAACAATGTCTTCGTTACTAGATGTGCATTACGGATTTGTAAGTACATATTAGCAAATAGACATCTTTATTACATCAACAATTTAATTGTTTTTCTTTGATGTGCTTCATAATGGTTCCACTAGTGATGTCTTCCAGATACAAATATTGCAGCTATTTATTTTAGCTACACTTTATTATTGGTTTGAGTAGTCTTTTTGTATGGTCCGAGTAGTCTCTTTGTTTGGTCCGAGTGGTCTATCAGTTGGTCCGAGTTGTCTTTGGTCCGAGTGGTCATGGATACGGTAGCTCTAGTTTTCATTTAACCAGACCGATGTATTGCTATTTTATGTTAACTATAATAATCTATGCTTTATCTCCTACTGTGCTATTAACAATAATTCCAATGGCATCCCCTGTAAAAAAAGATTGGTGGGCCTTACATACTTCGATTTCAGATCGTCAGCAAGACTATGCCGTACGCCATTTCTTGGGCCCTGCGAGAGGTTACCTGAATGTGTGCCAGACGGTAAATACAAATTATTACACCGGTGATATAACACGAAACGAAATTATTCAAAAATGATTTAAATACAAATTGTGGCGTACACACGTCATCTTCTCACTAGTTCTAAGTACATTGGGTTGGGAACGTTTTATCAAAATCGAAAGTAACAATTACCTGAATGTACCAGAATACACTACAACATAGACTAGAGGCACATACTTCTAAAAAGTGAGAAATATGCATCGAATTCAATAAAAAAAAATATTATTTTTGTAAAGAACGGTTCTTGTAGAAAAATGTACTAAAACAATACTGGCCACACATAGCAGATGCAAGATAAAGCTCCATCTATAATCTATGATTAACAATTACCTGCGGTGACGTCTGTAAAATATTTTACGAGTGGTTATCTATGTGTATATTAAAGGAGCTAAATCGCTATTTTTTGGCACCTAGAAATTGATACAAATGGGTTGCAACGCATATAGTAATGTATTTTATTACATAAAACACCCTTTTAGGTATACCTGATAAATACATAAAGAAAATTGGATGAAAAATACATAAAAAGCGAATGAAAATTACATAAAAAGTGGATGAAGTAAACATTTATATACATTGAGGGAGTATTTACAAAATATAAACCAAAGTTTTTGAATATATGTCATAGTCGCTTGAACTAAACGTGAAGTCTTTGAATTATTTTATATTCTTTTGGCTTATATATATTAGTGGACGCACACTGTTTTTAATGCCACAGCAAACGGCGGGTTTAACATGTTTTCGAGAGAAAATGGATAGTTTTGGATCTCAAATGCCCCATAAATAATTGTCTTGCGGTGTTCCTCCGTTGCACTCAATGAGAAAATGATACTCATTTTCAACTTGCTGTTGAGTGCAGTTTGTGCAAAAACGGAGATCTGCAGGTATATTCTTGTCTCCCTCTCTCTATTTCAAGGGAATGTATGCTTAGTCTAAGGCGGAACATCGCGGTTTTAGTTTTAAGATTTTAAACAACTTAATTTCGCAGGTATGACACCATAGCGTAGATATTCTGTTTAAACCTATAAAATGTTCTTAGTTTCTGGTTAGCTCAAGAGCATAGATTGGCATAAACTTCATTGAACATTCCTTCAAAGCATTTAGTTATTTGATCTAATGGTGGAATGAAAGATGATATATTAAAAGTATTTAACAATTCTGCAATGGTTAATGATTGTTTAGGGTTAATGGACGCTAAAGTGCTATCTTTTTTAAAGAAAGCAAAAAGAATTGGGTTATTGTTGTACTGAGTTGTGGGATGGATAGATGTTTAAAAATAATAGCATTCTACGATAAACATCAACTTGTAGAGGAAATATTATTTTGAGCTTCGGCTAAGCAACCAATATTTGATGCCTTTGTAGGTTGCACTAAAATGGTTTTACAATTTTTTATGGTCATTTTATTTATGTCTTATTTATCCGATTTTTTCAGATCCGATTTTTTGCTTTGAACAATTTGAGAACCCCATAATATATCAGATGTGATTGCAATTTGTTTAACAATAGCATTGTATAGTTTAGTCAAAATATCGGTTGGTAGGAAATTTATGAATGTACATAAATTGATTTAATTTACATTCAGTCGTTTCTGTTTTAAATGTAATTTCTAATCTGTTATGTTCAGCGAAATACGCGAAGGGTCTGAATTGAATGGCAGTCTTTGGCATCCGGTTATTCCTGTCTTACACCTGTAGTATTCTCCTACGTGTTATATGTTTAGTCTCGTTCATCAAGTCGCTTCATACAACAGGCGCTCAAAAGCATTCTGGCACACGATTCGTGTGCTAATTTTAAACTTTTCATTTTGTTCTAAATATCGCTTAACTTTAAGGGAAATTTCGATACTTAACACTGCCTTTGAATACCACTCACCCTTAATTTACAGGAAGTTACGTATATTAGACCAGCGTGACGTATTTCATTGAAATGCACGTGCTGGATAGGATCTGTATTTTAAGTTCTTTAATGGTCTCATGCAAGACATCGCGTAATATATAGATATATCAATATATTATTTAATGTCTCGGCCATTAAACTTCACATAATAATTGTTATCCATATATATTGTCTTATTTGATTGTCCCATTATTACATGCCATTATGACATTGTCAGAAATGAAAATGAGATCCAAAAATGTGGAACACCACATATACGACTATGACGGTCTACGCTTTTCCTAACACTTTGAAATCATACATTATACGAAATATAAATTTTTTAAAATGAGGTTAGATGATTTTGGCATTGCCATGAGTAATTTTGATGTAGGGGTGAACGTCATCAATTTGTTTGTATTAGTTGGTGAATAGATTTTTAAATATTTTACTATTTCGTTTCGTGACTATATTGCCGATGGTAAAAATTTGTATTTACTGTCGTAGGCAGAAACTCGTCCTAAAGAAACGCCGTGCACAGGGCACAACTTCAAATCTACTCATACAATACAAGGGTTTGTTATTATAGCTTTACTTGATAAAATGAAATGAAATTGAGTTTAACGTCCTACTGTTCTGCTCCTAACCTGGGCTAATGAAGACGGGCATACGCCATACAGTGTGCTATGAGGGAAATTTTTGCCCGGACAGCGGCACTACGGCCTACTCTTATATCGAATTCCAACTGCCAAGGGATCTTTTACGTGCACGCCAATGTGTACACGGGACCTCGGTTTTTCGTCCCATCCAAACGACTAGACAGCTTTTCTTGTCAGCCCCTCCGTCCTGCATCACTGACAAGGGATAACCACGCCGGAAAATCTGGATGAACTTTCTCGGCCAATGCAGGGATCGAACACTTTACTTGATAAAACACCAATTAATTATTATATTGTGTATAATCCCATAGACGAAGGACAGGCCCTTATTATTGTGAACAGCTTTTATAGTCCTAGCCTACTGTCTGAACCGTAAATCCATTGCACAATTTGAATTAAATATACCAACCAATAAAAAAGTTCTCTCTTGAAACATTTGACTATTATTAGTATTTACTTGGGCGAAACCAATGATCATCAAATGAAATGAAATGAAATGGAGTTTAAGTCCTACTGTTCTGCTCCTAACCTGGGCTAATGAAGACAGGCATACGCCATACAGTGTGCTATGAGGGAAATTTTGCCCGGACAGCAGCACTACGGCCTACTCTTATATCGAATTCCAACTGCCAAGGGATCTTTTACGTGCACGCCAATGTGTACACGGGACCTCGGTTTTTCGTCCCATCCGAACAACTAGACAGCTTTCCTTGTCAGCCCCTCCGTCCTGCATCACTGACAAGGGAGAACCACGCCGGAAAATCTGAATGAACTTTCTCGGCCAATGCAGGGATCGAACACCCGACCTCGAGGCTGAAACCAATGATCAAGTTGTTGCTTGGAATTGGGTGGTTTAACATTGACAGATCAGTGTTATACAATAAGATTCAAAACAAAGCGCAACCCATTTCGATCATTTTAAGGAGCTAAATCGCTAACATTTGGGACCTAGAAATTCACAAAAGTGGGTCGCAACACATATAATACTGTAATATGACAGTGCATATTGGGTGCATTTATAAGCCTAAGAAAAATGTAAGACCTTGTTAAAAGCGTAAATTACTTCCAGATTCAACAGTTTTGGGGGATCACGTGGCTAAGTGGGTAAGATGCTGGCTCGCTAGCCTTGAGGTCAGGTGTTCGATCCCTGCATTGGCCGAGAAAGTTCATCCAGATTTTCCAGCATGGTTTCCCCTTGCCAGTAATGTAAGATGGAAGGCCCGACAAGGGCAGCTGTCTAGTCATTCGGATGGGACAAAAAACGAGGTCGCGTGTACATATTGGCGTGCACGTAAAAGATCCCTTGGCAGTTGGAATTTGATATAAGAGTAGGTCGTAGGCGTAGCGCCGATGCCCAGGCAAAATTTACCTCATAGCACACTGTATGGCATTTGCCCGTCTTCATTAGAACATGCACACTGTATCATAAGATCTGTCATTGAGTCAACTGGTGTGTTTTCGATTCCCTGGGTGTACGTGACAAGGAGTAGGGTCGCCAGTCCTCCCACTGCTATAGACCCCTACGGCCTACGCGCAAGCCGAACTGACCTGGTTTGTGTTGAGTGGACGTTAAACCCCATTTCTCCGATTGTGACGAAACTTGAAATATAGGTTTCTCTCCAAAACGTCTTAGTTCCTTTCGATATTAGCATGTATTATACCGCATCTTCGCTAGCCAAGGGTTACGATTCGCTTCCCTTCTCTTCACCCTTGGCAGATCTCGAATACATTTTGAGGATTCGCAGTTCAGAATTTCATTGGTTACCTATCAGTATTAATAATACTTAATCACAGTTTACCCATAACACAGTCCATTCGTCAAAAATGTTTCCTTGTTACGAATGTTGTAGAGGTGCGAAAGGGCTTGAAGAAGAGACAATAGTTTCTTTGACATTGATAAAATTACAATTAACCAAATCTATTTTTTTTTTTCAGGATAAGCTACATATTTAGAAGAGTGTGTGATGAATGAAGTGGTCCACACCCATCTATTAATATCCAAGACAAACATGTGACAATCTCGTCATAAAGAAAAGAAGAAGGAATATCAAGTCAAAAAAAAAGATTGTGGACCCTGTTTCCTCGTTGAGTCACAATGACTTCAACAAGTGTGTTGAATCAAGTGGTACAAAATCATCTATTAATATCCAAGATAGATGTCAACAGTATTATACAAACCTGTCACAGTCTGGTCATGAATCACAATACAACCATCAAACAACTTATCTCCCTTTTCTCTAAAATATCTGGTTATGATTCTTACTGTAAACAGATTGTGTCGTTATGTAACCAGATCTTGTTTAATACAGTAACCAGTAACAACGCTGTAGTAAATGTGTGTAAATCGTTAAAACCTATAGATTTGTCGCCAGATAAGCCATATACTTATTTGCCAAGCTCTGAATTACCCACAACAACAAATAAACCAAAAATTATAATAGCAACAACAAAACATGGATTATCCATACAAACAAGTCAACCTGAGTTTCTCATAGCAACAAGTCAACATAAATTACCCAAAGAAACAAGTCAACTCATAGAAACAGGTCAACGTAAATTACCCATAGCAACAAGTCAACCCAAAATAACCACCAAAACAAGTCAACCTGAATTACCCATCGCAACAAGTCAACCCAAAATAACCATATCAACAAGTAATCCTAAATTAGCTGTAGTAACAAGTAACCCTACATGTATGTTATCCATAGCAGCAAGTAAATCCATAGTAACTAGCAGTCAATGTAGTCTTCCAAAATCACCCATAACAACAATTAATCCTGATTTACCAATTGTAACAAGTAAACCTATAGCTATGTTACCCATAGCAACAAGTAAATCTGAATCATTGAAAGTAACAAATAATCTACAATTACACCTACCAAGCAGTCAAGGTAAATTAGCAATAAATGTATTAAAATCACCTATAGCAACAAGTAAATCGGAACTATATGAAGGAAATATTAAATTCCAAACAACCCTAGCAACAGATGAGTGTGAATTGCCTATAGCAACATGTAAATCAGAAATACTCTTTGTAAGAAGTGGAAGTAATTCTGCTTTTCTCAAATCAACCAATCCCAAATGCAACACAGTAACCATCTATCCTAAATCATTTGTAGCAGCAAGTGAAAATGAATTGCCCATAGTAATGAACAAGCCGGAGTTACCCATAGCAACATCATCAAACCAAACCAACAGTAAATCATCAACAAATGTTAAACCAATGCTAAAAAAAGAAGGTGATAGTGATACAGTAACCATCTATCCTAAATCATCTGTAGCAGCAAGTAAACATGGATTGCCCATAATAACGAACCAGCCTGAGTTACCCATAGCAACATCATCAAACCAAACCAACAGTAAATCATCAACAAATGTTAAACCAATGCTAAAAAAAGAAGGTGATAGTGATACAGTAACCATCTATCCTAAATCATCTGTAGCAGCAAGTAAACATGGATTGCCCATAGTAACGAACCAGCCTGAGTTACCCATAGCAACATCATCAAACCAAACCAACAGTAAATCATCAACAAATGTTAAACCAGTGCTAAAAAAAGAAGGTGATAGTGATACAGTAACCATCTATCCTAAATCATCTGTAGCAGCAAGTAAACATGGATTGCCCATAGTAACGAACCAGTCTGAGTTACCCATAGCAACATCATCAAACCCAAAAAAATCATCAACAATTGTTCCAACGCTAAAAGATGCAACTGCTAGTGAAAGAATTGAAGCCATCAATAATATACTCCAAAACAATGCCAATTTACTGCAATCTCATTCAGTACCAAAGAGCAAGCATTTAGTACCAAAAAGCAAGCATAAAGTATTTGTCAGAAAGAGACGCCCAAGGCTATACCAGAAGGTTATTTGTGAAATTTGTGGGATACTTTTGAAAAGACGTGAATGTTTGAAATCACATCAAATTACTCATCTAGGTCACAAACCTGTTGAGTGTCCGTACTGTGATTACAGGTGTGTTAATAACAGTTATCTGAACGTTCACCTACAGACTCACAAGAGAGAGAAAAAACACCAGTGTGCGAAATGTGGTAAATGTTTTTCTCGAAAGACCACTCTGAGAAATCATGAATTGACTCACATTGACACACACTAAACTTAGGTTGCCTGTCTACAGTTAGCTCCGCTTGAGAACAGATGCTAAGCTAACTGACCGACATTTAAGTCCTAAATCGACGATTTTAGTAGAAAACACTGAGTAAACTTTGAGACGTTTTTATTCTGCTTCCATTTAATAAAATTGAAAAAGTTTATTTTGTCTTTTTGTGTGACAGTTGTGAAACAAAGCAGAACCACATTGCAAAACAGTATACTAATTTTTGAATATGGTGGCCATTTAGGGCAGAGATCTATTCTCAAAGTGGACTAATGAATCCGCTGACTAGTGAACCTGCGGACTAGTGAACATTCCCCGACACTGTCATTGAAAAAAAATATGCCTGTGACTTATGTCTGTCACGCTTTTAAGACATGAGTATGTTATCTAGCCATAAAAAGAATATATACGATAAGACAATTCAATGGCCCTGTCCGGTCTGCGGTAAGACTTTTAGCCGAAAACAGTATTTGGATAAGCACTTGGTGCATCACAACGCAGAAGAAATTTCTTGTGAAATCTGTGGTAGAAAATGTACGGAAACATCTTAAATCATATTAAAAACTAAAAACACTTATATGGATATACTACTTCTAAGTTTATTAAAATGCTACGTTTTGATACAGATACAGATATTATTTGCTTGATAACGATATCTGTATGTCCATATAAGTGTTTTTAAAATGTGAAATCTACTTCTATATGTCTTATAAGGATTATCGTAAAACATGTGCTAGTAGTTAGATATAGTACAACATGTGATGTAGAGACATAGTACAACATGTGATGGTGATAGTGGTGAGACATAGTACAACATGTGCTCATGGTGAGACATAGTACAACATGTGATGATGGTGAGGCATAGTACAACATGTGATGGTTGTGAGACATTGTACAACATGTGCTCATGGTGAGACATAGTAAAATATGTGAGATGAAATATGAAGAATTCTTATGACGAATCAGGCAAACATTTATAGTCATGTAATGAATAAAGTCTTTGAGTCCATATGATTATATGACTTAACAATTAAAATTCTTGAATTCTGTCAAGTGTTTCTACAATATGGTATTCAATGGTGGCACAGTGTGGTCGTCATTGTCAAAAATATATGGTATTCAGTTGTTGTACAATGTGGTCGTCATTGGTTGTATTGGTGATTATGGTGGCTAAGTGGGTAAGACGCTGGCCGAGAAAATTCACCCAGATTTTCCGGCGTGGTTCTACCTTATCAGTGATGCACATTGGCGTGCAAGTAAAAGATCCCTGGACAGTTGGAATTCGATATAAGAGTGTAGGCCGTAGTGCCGCTGTCCGGGCAAAATTTCCCTCATAGCACACTGTATATCGTATGTCCGTCTTCGTTAGCCCAGTTCTTAGCAAAACATTTAGGACTTTAAACCCCATTTCATTTCATTGGTTGTACAAAATGTTAATAATTATTTATACAATATGTGGTTGGTTTTAGTGGTGGAATGGCTTAACACATGCGCTTTAGATTATGCATTATGTCATTGAGTCTAGCCATTTCATTGGTTAAGAGCTAAAATCCTAGTACAAATTTTAGCTCTCAGCCAATGACAAGGCTGCATTCTTAAAATATTTTAGTTGAAGTTTTCATGAATAAAACCCCAGGACCTCCAATTGAAATAAAAATGAACCATTTGTTTGTCCAGAAATTTCCTAGTTCGACCACATTCTCTCTCTTTTGTACAATACAGTAGTCAGTGTTTGTACAATGTGATACTAATTAGTATATGACTTCCCGCCCGGGATATACTCCACAGACTACCTTATGATCCATCACTGACTCAATGACAGACCTTCCTGTCTCTTTCTCCACAGTAAATTTAAAATTAAAAAGAATCACATTAAGCTTCAACCAAAGATATGGTGTTTTATACAAGACAAACTACATATAAATAATCACATGAATAAAACTTTAAAAAAAAATCACAAAATTTTATGTATATTTGAAATGTATGATGAAGACAACTCTTGTGAAATTTAACATTATTATACTTTTAAACATGCATTATGCAAGAGCTAAATCTGTCTATTGCAGGTCTTTCTTTAGGCCTGAAATCTTTTCTAAATTATTAATTAGACATTAATTAACTTATCCAGGTCATAATAAACTCTCGATGGCATCGGATTTCTCCGATACTAAATAGATTAGAACAGTTTAGCCATATTTTGATTTAAGCTAAAAATGGAGGAGCGAGACTTAGCTTCGAACAACCAGTACAGTGGTTGAAATTATTGCACACGTCTAGTCAAACCTTCAAAGGCTAATATCTTTGTTCGCAATAGAGTAATTTGAATGAAATTTTTAAATTATTCATTTTACATTATCTATTTTCGACTACTATAGCAAGAATGGCTAGCTCTTTATATAAATCTTACATAAATAATGTATCTGTAAATGAGTGAAATGGGGCATATGTTCCTGAAGCAATGACTGCGTGGTTTACAGCATCTAGCTTGAGAAGATGTGGGCTAGAGAGTTAAATAGAGACCATGATAATATACGTGTTCAAAATTTTGCAATTGAACCTAATTTTACTTGCATCATATCCTCCAAAAGTGTAACAATTGTAGCCGTTAATAAGACAATTATCACAGCTCACAAATATCATAGGCCAACCCATTTGTGTCCATTTCTAGGTGCCAATAAATAGGAATTTAGCAGGCGTGAACGTCATAAATTAATTGTTAAATAGACGTTTGATATTTTACTAATTCGTTTCGTGTATATATCGCCGAAGCTCAAAATTTGTAATTACCGTATGACACAGATACGGCAACTGTAAATTGCAACCGATCGCGGGAAGAAACTCATCCCAAAGAAACGCCGTACAACGGTAAAACTTCAAATCTACTGGATCAATGCTTTACAAGGTTTGTCGTTACAACTTTACGCATTATTATATTGTTAACAATCCAATATTCGGAGGATAGGACAATTTATCCAATGTGGCAATGGCCAATGCGGTACCGTACACACCACATTCACATTGGGCGCTATTGCACTTTCGTACCTCTACCAGTTCCCGTGGTCGTAGGCACTTGAAATTTTCAGAGGATGTTAAGGGGGGCTAGCAATGACCACACACCAAATTTCAGCCGAATCGATAAATAACTTTTTATTTTACCGACCTTTTAATTTCTAACGAGAGAGAACTTCATCCGTTTGACGCCATTTGCTTTGTTTACTAATTAGACTTGAATAACAAGACACTAAGACGGAAACCGACTCGAATAACAAGACACTTAGACGGAAACCGACACACTGCACTAGCTGCCTAACACTGCAGTTCATAAAAATTAATATAATTTTCGTATACTTTAATTTTTGCGCGAAGCCACCATTTTCTATAAAATACTATTTGGTGTTGATCAGTGGATTGGCCTTTAGGTGTGAATATTGCCGTGACCTTGATTTTGACCTTGAGGCCAAACTTCCCATCCATATCGGGGCCTTTGCGTTTATGCTTGCCGTGACCTTATTTCCTACTGTATTATCAAAGTTAATGTTCGAGGTGAAAGCAGAGACGACGTCCTCCAGAAAAGATAATTGGGTCAAAGTCGTAGGTCAAGGTCATCTTACAGAAAACTAAACTCGGACTTTTCAAAGTCAGTTTTGGGACATTTGACCTTGACTTACGACCTTGACCTCGTAACCATTTTCGAAGGCTATCACCTTGACTTGAACCATCGACGTTTACTTTGGTCCTGTCGCACACTGTTCGGTCAGAAAAGGGTCAAACGCAAAGGGCCCGTGTCCGAAAGGAAGTCAATGGGCGTGGTCAATGTGAAAGGTCGTGGTGACCTCCACTAGTCACCTTTAACCATCTGTGACCTTGACTTTGACCTTGAGTCCAAACTTCCTATCCATCTCGGGCCCTTTTCGTTTATGCTTGCCGTGACCCTATTTCTTACTGTATTATCAAAGTTAATGCTTGAGGTGAAAGCAGAGACAACGTCCTTCAGAAAAGTTAAAAGGTCAAAGTCGTAGGTCAAGGTCATGTTACAGAAAACTAAACTCAAACTTTCAAAGTCAGTTTTGGGACATTTGACCTTGACTTACGACCTTGACCCCGTAACCATTTTCGAAGGCTATCAACTTGGCTTGAATCATGGGCGTTTACCTTGGTCCTGTGGCACACTGCTCGATCAGAAAACGGTCAAACGCAGAGGGGCCCGTGCCCGAAAGGAAGTCAAGGGCGTGGTCAATGTGAAAGTTCGTGGTGACCTTCACTAGTCACCTTTAACCATCCGTGACCTCGACTTCGACCTTGAGTCCAAACTTCCCATCCATCTCGGGCCCTTTTCGTTTATGCTTGCCGTGACCCTATTTCTTACTGTATTATCAAAGGTAATGCTTGAGGTGAAAGCAGAGACAACGTCCTTCAGAAAAGATAAATGGGTCAAAGTCGTAGGTCAAGGTCATGTTACAGAAAACTGAACTCAAACTTTTCAAAGTCAGTTATGGGACATTTGACCTTGACTTACGACCTTGATCCCATAACCATTTTCAAAGCCCATAATCTTGGCTTGAACCATCGACGTTTACCCTGGCCCTGTCGCACACTGCTCGGTCAGAAAACGGTCAAACGCAGAGGGGCCCGTGTCCGAAAGAACGTCAAAGGGCGTGGTCAATGTGAAAGTTCGTGGTGACCTCCACTAGTCACCTTTAACCATCCGTGACCTTGACTTCGACCTTGAGTCCAAACTTCCCATCAATCTCGGGCCCTTTTCGTTTATGCTTGCCGTGACCCTATTTCTTACTGTATTATCATGGACGTTTACCTTGGTTCTGTCACACACTGCTCGGTCAGAAAAGGGTCAAACGGAGAGGGGCCCGTGTCCGAAAGGAAGTCAATGGGCGTGGTCAATGTGAAAGGTCGTAGTGACCTCCACTAGTCACCGTTAACCATCCGTGACCTTGACCCTGACCTAGAGTCCGAACTTCCCATCCATCTCGGACCCTTTGCGTTTATGCGTGCCGTGACCATATTTCATTTTTGGGACAGGGCCAGGGTAAACGTCGATGGTTCAAGCCATGGTGATAGCCTTCGAAAATGGTTACGGGGTCAAGGGGTCAAGGTCGTAAGTCAAGGTCAAATGTCCAAAAAATGACATTGAAAAGTTTGAGTTTAGTTTTCTGTAACATGACCTTGACCTACGACTTTGACCCAATCATCTTTTCCGAAGGACGTCGTCTCTGCTTTCACCTCGAACATTAACTTTGAAAATACAGTAAGAAATAAGGCCACGGCAATCATAAACGCAAAGGCCCTGATATGGATGAGAAGTTAAGACTCAAGGTCAAAATCAAGGTCACGGCAATATTCACACCTAAAGGCCAATCCACTGATCAACACCAAATAGTATTTTATAGAACATGGTGGCTTCGCGCAAAAATTAAAGTATACGAAAATTATATTAATTTTTATGAACTGCAGAGATAGGCAGCTAGTGCAGTGTGTCGGTTTCCGTCTTAGTGTCTTGTTATTCGAGTCTAAATAGTAAACAAAGCAAATGGCGTCAAACAGATAAAGTTCTCTCTCGTTAGAAATTAAAAGGTCGGTAAAATAAAAAGTTATTGATCGATTCGGCTGAAATTTGGTGTGTGGTCATTGCTAGTCCCCCGTAACATCCTCTAATAATTTCAAGTGCCTACGACCACGGGAACTGATAGAGGTACGAAAGTGCAATAGCGCCTTCACATATTGTGACATTGTTATGAAAAACCAATTATAGGCCCGAGAAATGCAAAACAGCAGAAAACTTTTTTAAAAAATTGAGTTATTTAGTAGAAAACTTTCAAAAAATGTAGCCCAAGATAGTATAGATCGTAAATGTGAGGGTCAATGTCTTGTCATTTCAGTTATCTCTATTGATAACCGAATACTAACAAATTGAAATAGGGGACGCGTGATTAACCGTTCAGAACGTTCCGAATTGACGGAATTACAATTGTCACAGTTCTGTCAGTCCCGACAACGGAGGTGGTGTGAGTAGAATCGTGGCATAATTAAACACAACGAATATGTTTCAGCTGTAATGGATGGTTGATATATTTTCTCATGCAGTCGGTGCATGTGTTCTAGCCCAAAATCCTTATTGTCACTTGATTGTCACTATTTTTGGGTTTGACAGAATTCATTTCTGGAACGTTCAATCCAACATTCCAGGCTACATATTAAGTTATGGATGTTACAGTCACGGGAAAGAACAAATTTTATGTCATTCGCTTCTTTGGTTTTCATACAAATTTATGCTTGGAAAAGATGTAGGAATTGGACCAACTACTAAACAGCATGGCACTAGAGGATGTGACAAATGATGGCCACACACCAAATTTCAGCCGATTCGATCTTATTTTACAGACTTTTCATTTTGCATATTTCGTCAAGATTTCACTTGTGACCCAGATTGTCATTTTGCTTTTTTACTTAGATTTGGACATCAAGAACATAAGATGGCTTCCTACGCACTGAGCTATCTTGCCAACACTGTACAGATAAAAAAAAATTATAAGTTCCGTTAGGGTCGGCCATTTATTCCATCCATGGCTTGTTTGTTTGATGGGTAGTCTGACAGTCTCTGATGACCCCTTAGTACGTGACAGGTCGATAATCAAAAGGTCCTGTATTCTGTGTGTTTAATTGATAGTAAATGACACAGAATACTTCCAAGCTGTAGTTGTTCTGATTGTTCCTTAGTACGACAATCCATTATTCAGATGTCCTGTCAGATGCTGTGTTTGATATACTGGTTCCTGACACAATTACATCTTTTAACTAACCCAAATTATTTCTACAATTTGTTTCTTCAGGATAAGCTACACAGAAGAAGAATTATCAAGTCAAAGAATAATTTGTGGGCACCCTACTTCAAACTTCAATGACCTCAACATGTGTGATGAATCAAGTGGTACAAACTCATCTATTAATTTCCAAGATAGATGTCAACAGTATTATACAAACCTGTGACAGTCTGGTCATGAATCACCATACAACCATCAAACAACTTATCTCCCTTTTCACAAAAATATCTGGTTATGATTCTTACTGTGAACAGATTGTCTCGTTATGTAACCAGATCTTGTCTGATACGGTAACCAGTAGCAACGATGTAATAAATGTCTGTAAATCGTTAAAACCTATAGTTTTGTCGCCAGATAAGCCAGATACTTTTTTGGAAGTCGGTAATGGCGAAGGTCCTGGAAGTTCAACATTTTTCAAACCTTGTAACCAGATCTCTAAGGAAACGAGTTCAAAGGCATGTCAAGCCACCGGATTGTACCAAAACAATGTCTCACCTTCTATTTTAAAACAATATGTAGCAACAAGAAAAAACAAACCTTCCATATTAAAAAAAAGTAAACCCAAAATAACCATAGCAACAAATAAACCCAGCATAACCATAGCAACAAGTCAACCTGAATTACCGATACTAACAACAAGGCCTGAATTACCCATAGCAACAAATAAACCCCAAATAATGACAGCAGCAAGTCATCCTGGGTTACTCATAGCAACAAGTCATCCTGAATTACTCATAGCAACAAGTCAACATAAATTACCCACAGAAAAAAGTCAACCTGAATTACTCTTAAAAACCGGTCAACCTGAACGACCCAGAACAACAAGTAAACCCAACATAACCATAGCAACAACTCAACTCATGGAAACAAGTCAACCTCAATTACCCATAGCAACAAGTCAATCGGATTTACCCATAGCAACAAGTAATCCTCAATTATCCGTAGCCACAAGTCAACCTCAATTACCCATAGCAACAAGTCAATCCAAACCAAAACTTTTAACAAGAAGTAAACCCATCATAACCATAGCAACAACTCAACCCATAGAAACAAGTCAACTTGAATTACCCATAGCAACAAGTCAACCTCAATTACCCATAGCCACAAGTCAACCTCAATTACCCATAGCAACAAGTCAATCCAAACCAAAACTTTTAACAAGAAGTAAACCCAACATAACAATAGCATCAAGTGAACCAAAAATACCCATAGCAACCAGTAATCCTAAATTACTTGTAGTAACACGTAAATCTGAGTCATCCAAAATAACAAGTAATCCACAATTAAATCTGCTAAGCAATCATTGCATTCTACCGAAACCACCCATAGCAACGATTAATCCTGATTTACCAATAGTAACAAATAAACCTATGTTACCCATAGGAACAAGTGAATCTGAATCATTCAAAGTAACAAATAATCTACAATTACACCCACAAAGCAGTCAAGGTAAATTACCATTAGCAACCAGTATATTACAATCACCTAAAGCACCAAGTAAATCTGAAGTATGTATAGAAACCATAGCAACAGATGAGTGTGAATTGCCTATAGCAACAAGTAAACCAGAAACACTCAAAGGAACGAGTAGAAGTAAATCTGCATTTCCCAAATCAAACAATAATCCCAAATGCAACATAGTAACTATCTATCCTGAATCATATGTAGGTACAAGGAAACAAGTATTGCCCAAAGTAACCAACAAGCCTGAGTTAACAACAGATAAACCTGACATATCTATAGTAACGAGTGAACCTGAATTATTGATATCAACAAGTAAATCTGAATTCTCCATAGTAACTAATATGACCGAGTTATCCATAGCAACAAGTAAACCTGATTTACCAACAACAACATCACCAATCGAAAACAACATTAACTCATCAACAATTGTTAAACCAAGGCAAAGAAATGCAACTGATATTGAAACAATGGAGGCCATCAATAATTTACTAGAGAGCAATGCAGATGGGGGGGATGAGATTCTGGAATTTGTCGATATTACAGATGTGTACGATGTTGTTAGAGGCTCTCATCTCATGGATAATGTTACAGCAGATTCGCATAAAGTATCTGTCAGTGAGAGTCATCCAAAAAGCTTGCCTAAAGTATTTGTGAGTGAGAAACACCCAAAGCCATATGAGAAATTGATTTGTGAAATCTGTGGGAAAATTTATAAAACACGTTGCATCTTGAAAATACATAAACTTTTACATCTGGATCAGAAACCGATTGCCTGTCCGCACTGTGATTACAGGTGTGTCACTAACAGTTATTTAAAAGAGCATCTAAAAATACATAGCAAGGAGAGAAACCACCAGTGTGCGAAATGTGGTAAATGTTTTATCCGAAAGAAAAATCTGACAATTCATGAATTGACACACACTGTCACTGAAAAAAACTACCTCTGCGATGTATGTCCATCCCGCTTTTGGGACAGGGGTACGTTATATAGCCATAAAAGATACGTACACGATAAAACAATTCAATGGCCGTGTTCAGTATGCGGTAAGACTTTTAGCCGAAAACACTGTTTAGATATGCACTCGATGCGTCACAACGCAGAAGAAAGATTCACTTGTAAAATTTGTGGTAGAAAATATAAACTGAAAGATTCTCAACGGAAACATAGTAAAACGTGTGATGGTGGTGACCAAAAGAAAAATGTGATAGGTGAGAGATAGTAAAATATGTAATGGTGGTGAGATATAGTACAAAAGGTGATGGTGGGGAGACATAGTACAACATGTGATGGTGGTGAGACATTGTACAACATGTGGTAGAAAATATAAACTGAAAGGTTCTCAACGGAAACATAGTAAAACATGTGATGGTGGTGACCGAAAGAAAAATGTGATATTGGTGAGAGATAGTAAAACGTGATGGTGGTGAGATACAGTAAAACATGTGATAGTGGTGAGATATAGTAAAATATGTGATGGTGAGACATAGTACATGTGATGGTGGTGAGACATGGTACAACATGTGCTCGTGGTGAGACATAGTACAACGTGTGGTCATGGTGAGACATAGTACAACATGTGATGATGGTGAGACATAGTACAACATGTGATGGTGGTGAGACATAGTACAACATGTGATGGTGGTGAGACATAGTACAACATGTGTTCATGGTGAGACATAGTAAAATATGTGATCAGAGGTCGCAGTCACGCAAAAATCTGCGTATTTCACGCATTTGTTTCAAAATAAACGCAAATATTGACGGACGCTGCGTAATTTACACAAAGAAAATTTCCCCGACGTGAGAATAATTAGATTATTCTATGTCGTAGTTTATACAATTTATGGGCTTCACCCTGCATTTACACACCCCTACTGCACGTAGTCTCCGTAGTTTTTTATATTTCCTCTTATTTCATTCATAAGTTCATGGCAGTAAGCCTACATAACTATCCTATTGGAAGCAATAAAGCAAATTTCATACAAGACTTGGGATTGGCTAGAACACAATATACTGTTTACATTCAGCTAATTAAATGTTGGCTTTCATAGCGATAATTTTCTCTTTACGTCCTGTCGAAGTGAAAGATTCAAATGACTGTGCTGTCAACCATAGACATGCCGTTAATCTCCAGTCGTCATTAGACTAAATACAGTAGGCATATCAATGAAAAAAGGACGCTTAAAATAGGGTTGTTCACAAAACGACTTTACATGCTTCTATATTGAGTATTTTGAGAGGCTCTAAGTCACGCAGATGTAGAGGGCAAAAATGCAAAATTTTGGAATGTCTGCATATTTTTACGCAACTCGAAATTGATCCACTGCGACCTCTGTATGTGATGGTGGTGGGAGTAAAATATTTGAGATGAAATATGAAGAATTCCCATGACAAATCAGGCAAACATTTATAGTCATACTCATGTAATGAATAAAGTCTTTTAGTTCATATGATTATATGACTTAACAATTAAAATTCTTGAATTATGTCAAGTGTTTTTACAATACGGTATTCAATGGTGGCACAGTGTGGTCGTCATTGTCAACAATATATGTTATTCAGTTGTTGTACAATGTGGTCGTCATTGGTTGTATGGGTGATTACGGTGGCCAGGTGGGTAAGACGCTGGCTCGCTAGCCTAGAGGTCGGGTGTTCGATCCCAGCATTGGCCGAGAAAGTTCACCCAGATTTTCCGGCGATATTCTCCCTTGTCAGTGATGCAGGATGGAGGGCCTGACAAGGACAGCTGTCTAGTCATTCAGATGAGACGAAAAACCAAGGTCCCGTGTACACATTGGCGTGCACGTAAAAGATCCCTTGACAGTTGCAATTCGATATAAGAGTAGGCCGTAGTGCCGCTGTCCGGGCAAAATTTCCCTCATAGCACACTGTATGGCGTATGCCCGTCTTCGTTAGCCCAGTTCGGAGCAAAACAGTAGGACGTTAAACCCCATTTCATTTCATTTCATTGGTTGTACAATATGTTAATAATTATTTATACAATATGCGGTGGGTTTGGTGGGGGAATGGCTTAACACATGCGCTTTAGATCATGCATTATGTCATTGAGTCTAGCCTTTTCATTGGTTAAGAGCTAAAATCCTAGTACAAATTTTAGCTCTCAGCAAATGAAAAGGCTGCATTCTTAAAATATTTTAGTTGAAGTTTTCATGAATAAAACCCCAGGACCTCCAATTGAAATAAAAATGAACCATTTGTTTTTCCAGAAGTGGCCTAGTTAGACCACATTCTCTCTCTTTTGTACAATATAGTAGTCAGTGTTTGTACAATGTGATACTAATTAGTATATGACTTCCCACAGACCATATACTCCACAGACCACTGACTCAATGACAGACCTTCTTGTTTCTTTCTCCACAGTAAATTTTAAATTAAAAACAATCACATTAAGCTTCAACCAAAGATATGATGTTTTATACAAGACAAACTACCTATAAATAATCACATGAATAAAAACAAATATCGCAGTTAATTTAAAATAAAAACAAATATCACAAAACTTTACGTATATTTTAAATATATGATGAAGACAACTCGTATGAAATTTAACATTATTATACTTTTAAACATACATTATGCAAGAGCTAAATCTGTCTATTGCAGGTCTTTCTTTAGGCCTGAAATGTTTTCTAAATTATTAATTAGACATTAATTAACTTATCCAGGCCATAATAAACTCTCAATGGCATCGGATTTCTCCGATACTAAATAGATTAGAACAGTTTAGCCATATTTTGATTTAAGCTAAAAATGAAGGAGCGAGACTTCGCTTCGAACAACCAGTACAGTGGTTGAAATTATTGCACACGTCTTGTCAAACCTTCAAAGGCTAATATCTTTGTTCGCGATAGAGTGATTTGAATAAAATTTTTAAATTATTCATTTTACATTATTTATTTTCGACTACTATAGCAAGAATGTCTAGCTCTTTATCTAAATCTTACATAATGTATCTTTAAATGAGTGAAATGGGGCATATGTTCCTGAAGCAATGACTGCGTGGTTTACAGCATCTAGCTTGAGAAGATGTGGGCTAGAGAGTTAAATAGCGACCATGATGATATACGTGTTCAAAATTTTGCAATTGAATTTAATTTTACTTGCATATGATATCCTCGAAAAGTGTAACCGTTAATAAGACAATTATCACAGCTCACAAATATCATGGGCCTACCCATTTGTGTCCATTTCTAGGTGCCAATGAATAGGAATTTAGCAGGCGTGAACGTCATAAATTAATTGTTAAATAGACGTTTGATATTTTACTACTTCGTTTCGTGTATATATCGCCGAAGCTCAAAATTTGTAATTACCGTATGACACAGATACGGCAACTGTAAATTGCAACTGCAACCGATCGTGGGAAGAAACTCGTCCCAAAGAAACGCCGTTCAACGGTAAAACTTCAAATCTACTGGACCAATGCTTTACAGGGGTTTGTTGTTAGAACTTTACGCATTATTATATTGTTAACAATCCAATATTCGGAGGATAGGACGATTTATCCAATGTGGCAATGGCCAATGGGGCACCGTACACTACATTGTTGTGACATTGTATAAAAAACTGATAGGCCCTAGAAATGCAAAACAGCAGAAAACTTTTAAAACAAAATTGAGTTATTTAGCAGAAAACTTTCAAAAAATGTAGCCCAAGATAGTATAGATGGTAAATATGAGGGTCAATGTCTTGCCATTTCAGAACGTTCCGAATTGATGGAATTACAATTGTCACAGTTCTGTCAGTCCCGACAACGAAGGTGGTGTGAGTAGAATCGTGGCGTAATTAAACACAATGAATATGTTTCAGCTGTCATGGATGGTTGAGATATTTTCTCATGCAGTCGATGCATGCGTTCTACGTACCTAGCCCAAAATCCTTATTGTCACTTGATTGTCACTATTTTTGGGTTTGACAGAATTTATTTCTGGAACGTTCAATCCAACGTTCCAGGCTACATATTAAGTTATGATGTTACAGTCACGGGAAAGAACAAATTTTATGTCATTCACTTGGAAACGATGTAGGAATTGGACCAACTACTAAACAGCATGGCACTAGAGGATGAGACAAATGATGGCCACACACCAAATTTCAGCCGATTCGATCTTATTTTACAGACTTTTCATTTTGCATATTTCGCCAAGATTTCACTTGTGACCCAGATTGTCATTTTGCTTTTTTACTTAGATTTGGACATCAAGAACATAAGATGGCTTCCAACACACTGGGCTTTCTTGCCAACACTGGACAGATAAAAATAAATAATAATAAGTTCCATTAGGGTCGGCCCTTTATTCCATCCATTGTTTGTTTGTTTGATGGGTGGTCTGACAGTCTCTGATGACCGCTTAGTACGTGACAGGTTGATAATCAAATGGTCCTGTATTCCTTGTGTTTGATTGACACAGAAAACTTAACCAAGCTGTAGTTGTTCTGATTGTTCCTTAGTACGACAATCCATTATTCCGATGTCCTGTCAGATGCTGTGTTTGATATACTAGTTCATGACACAATTACATCTTTTAACTTACCCAAATTATTTCTACAATTTGTTTCTCCAGGATAATCTGCAAGGAAGAAGAATTATCAAGTCAAAGAATAATTTGTGGACACCCTACTTCAAACTTCAATGACCTCAACATGTGTGATGAATCAAGTGGTACAAACTCATCTATTAATATCCAAGATAGATGTCAACAGTATAATACAAACCTGTCACAGTCTGGTCATAAATCATAATACAACGATCAAACAACTTATCTCCCTTTTCTCTAAAATATCTGGTTATGATTCTTACTGTGAACAGATTGTGTCTTTATGTAACCAGAGCTTGTCTGATACGGTAACCAGTTGCAACACTGTAGTAAATGTCTGTAAAATATCTGGTTATGATTCTTACTGTGAACAGATTGTGTCGTTATGTAACCAGATCTTGCCTGATACGGTAACCAGTAGCAATGATGTAATAAATGTCTGTAAATCGTCAAGACCTATAGTTTTGTCGCCAGATAAGCCAGATACTTATTTGGCAGTCGGTAATGGTGAAGGTCCTGGAAGTTCAACATTTTTCAAACCTAGTAACCAGAATGCTAAGGAAACGATTTCTAAGGCATGTCAAGCCACCAGATTGTACCAAAAAAATGTCTCACCTTCTATTTTAAAACAATATGTAGCAACAAGAAAAAACAAATCTTCCATATTAAAAAAAAGTAAACCCAAAATAACCATAGCAACAAATAAACCCAGCATAACCATAGCAACAAGTCAACCTGAATTACCGATACTAACAACAAGGCCTGAATTACCCGTAGCAACAAATAAACGCCAAATAATGACAGCAGCAAGTCATCCTGGGTTACTCATAGCAACAAGTCATCCTGAATTACTCATAGCAACAAGTCAACATAAATTACCCACAGAAAAAAGTCAACCTGAATTACTCTTAGAAACCGGTCAACCTGAACAACCCATAACAACAAGTAAACCCAACATAACCATAGCAACAACTCAACTCTTGGAAACAAGTCAACCTCAATTACCCATAGCAACAAGTCAATCGGATTTACCCATAGCAACAAGTCAACCTCAATTATCCGTAGCCACAAGTCAACCTCAATTACCCATAGCAACAAGACAATCCAAACCAAAACTTTTAACAAGAAGTAAACCCAACATAAAAATAGCATCAAGTGAACCAAAAATACCTATAGCAACCAGTAATCCTAAATTGCCTGTAGTAACAAGTAAATCGGAGTCATCCAAAATAACAAGTAATCCACAATTAAATCTGCTAAGCAGTCATTGCATTCTACCGAAACCACCCATAGCAATGATTAATCCTGATTTACCAATAGTAACAAATAAACCTATGTTACCCATAGCAACAAGTAAATCTGAATCATTCAAAGTAACAAATAATCTACAATTACACCCACAAAGCAGTCACGGTAAATTACCATTAGCAACCAGTATATTAAAATCACCTAAAGCACCAAGTAAATCTGAAGTATGTATAGAAACCATAGCAACAGATGAGTGTGAATTGCCTATAGCAACAAGTAAACCAGAAACACTCAAAGGAACGGGTAGAAGTAACTCTGCATTTCCAAAATCAAACAATAATCTCAAATGCAACATAGTAACTATCTATCCTAAATCATATGTAGGTACAAGGAAACAAGTATTGCCCAAAGTAACCAACAAGCCTGAGTTAACAACAGATAAACCTGACATATCTATAGTAACGAGTGAACCTGAATTATTGATATCAACAAGTAAATCTGAATTCTCCATAGTAACTAATATGACCGAGTTATCCATAGCAACAAGTAAACCTGATTTACCAACAGCAACATCACCAATCGAAAACAACATTAACTCATCAACAATTGTTAAACCAAGGCAAAGAAATGCAACTGATATTGAAACAATGGAGGCCATCAATAATTTACTAGAGAGCAATGCCGATGGGGGAGATGAGATTCTGGAATTTGTCGATATTACAGATGTGTACGATGTTGTTAGAGGCTCTCATCTCATGGATAATGTTACAGCAGATTCGCATAAAGTATCTGTCAGTGAGAGTCATCCAAAAAGCTTGCCTAAAGTATTTGTGAGTGAGAAACACCCAAAGCCATGTGAGAAATTGATTTGTGAAATCTGTGGGAAAATTTCAAAAACACGTGGCAGCTTGAATAGACATAAACTTTTACATCTGGGTCAGAAACCGTTTGCCTGTCCGCACTGTGATTACAGGTGTGTCACTAACAGTTATTTGAAACATCATCTAAAAATACATAGCAACGAGAGAAACTACCAGTGTGCGAAATGTGGTAAATGTTTTCTTCGAAAGAACAATCTGACAATTCATGACTTGACTCACACTGTCACTGAAAAAAAATACCTCTGCGACGTATGTCCATCCCGCTTTTGGGACAAGGGTACGTTATATAGCCATAAAAGATACGTACACGATAAAACAATTCAATGGCCGTGTTCAGTATGCAGTAAGACTTTTAGCCGAAAACACTGTTTAGATATGCACTCGATGCGTCACAACGCAGAAGAAAGATTCACTTGTGAAATTTGTGGTAGAAAATATAAACTGAAAGATTCTCAACGGAAACATAGTAAAACGTGTGATGGTGGTGACCAAAAGAAAAATGTGATAGTGGTGAGAGATAGTAAAATATGTAATGGTGGTGAGATATAGTACAAAAGGTGATGGTGGGGAGACATAGTACAACATGTGATGGTGGTGAGACATTGTACAACATGTGGTGAGACATTGTACAACATGTGATGGTGGTGAGTAGTGAGACCTTGTACAACATGTGATGGTGGTAAGATATAGTACAAAATGTGATGGTGGTGAGACATAGTACAACATGTGATGGTGGTGAGAGATTGTACAACATGTGGTGAGACATTGTACAACATGTGATGGTGGTGAGACAGAACAACATGTGATGGTGGTGAGATATAGTACAACATGTGATGTTGTTTGGGCTTTAATTAGTACATGTGATGGTAAGACTAAGACATGTGATGGTGGTGAGACAGTAAAATATTTGAGATGAAATATGAAGAATTCCCATGACATATCAGCGAACATTTATAGTCATGTTATGAATAAAGTCTTTGAGTCCATATGATTATAGGACTTAAAAATTAAAATTCTGCAATTTTATTACGCTAGTTTAAAAGACAATATTATTGGTGTCAGCCATTATTACATATGTGACAAGTGGTTAAACACATTCCAAATATAATTATTTAACACCGAGATCATTGCTATGGTAGTAGTGTTACGAACATTTGAAGAAACGGGAAGTGACGCAAAAAAAATGACAAACACGAGTTATCCTTCTATGTAACTGACTGAAGTAACGAGCATAGGCGTACAGGCTCGATGAATGTTAGGGGGCAGATCTGAAATGCCCGAAAAAAATTTGACTGCAAGATTTATGTGTTGACTGTCATGAACTAGTATATCAGACAGGACGGGAGGCACGGTGGCTAGGCAGGTAAGACGTAGGCTCGCTAACCTGGAGGTCTGGTGTTCGATCCCTGCATTAGCGGAGAAAGTTCATCCGGATTTTCCTGCGTGGTTCTCTCATGTCAGTGGTACAGAACAGAGGGCCTGGCAAGGGACAATGTATAGTCGTTTGGATGGGACGAAAAAATGAGGTCCCGTGTACACATTGGCGTGCACGTAAAAGATCCCTTGGCAGTTGGAATTCGATATATGAGTTGGCCATAGTCTCCCGCACACTGTATGGCGTATGCCTGTCTTCAATAGCCCGGTCAGGAGCAGAACAGTAGGATGTTAAACCCCATTTCATTTCAAACAGGACATCGGAACAATGGATTGTTGTACTAAAAGAAAATCTCAGCAACTAAAGTTTGAACGTTTACCAGCCGTTTACTGTCTATCAAAATAGGAACAGAGAATCATTTGATTATCGAATATTTAAGACACAACGAAAATTTTAAACTTAGCGCACGAATATCCTGCCATTTGTATTGAGGTGACTGGATAAACGATGTTAAAAATACCCCACAAGGCAAGACTACTGTAGTAGACTGGAATAACCAGATGCCAAAGACTGCCATTCAATTTGCACTCGTCACGTATTTCGTTGTACATAACTGATTAGAAATTACAGTAAAAACAGAAACGATTGAATGTAAATCAGTTTATATGTATACATTCATATTGCATTATTATATGCGTTGCTACCCAATTGTGTCAATTTTTGGGTCCCAAATATTAGCGATACAAACTAAGTGATAATTCGACACATAAAAACATCTATACGTAAAGCGAGAGGGAGACGGGGGGGGGGGGGGGTCAAAGTTACTCGATACAAACTAGGTCATCAAACTAGGTCATTTCGGGATTAGCATTTGGTTCAATTTCATTTCAATAATTCGCTTGCATGTCGGGGACTTTAGCAGTGGGTTGAACTCGGTGAAAATCTACCAGGTTGGACAGGCGGGGAATCAAAGCTACGCCAATTGACTCAATGACAGAATTCATGATCTGAGGCGCACTCAATATGGCAGTGACAGATCACGGCAAGGACAACTGAGGCAAATTTTTTTTTTATCTTGTAGAAAAAAATAATAAAGACTCATTTCCACCCAAAATCATGAAACACAGTGCTCTTTTTTCGATGAGTTTTAAAATTATTATGTTGGGAGACCTGAAGGGGCTTCGGTCTGAAACAGAACCCTGAATGGATTCTCCGAGTATATTCCTGAAGAAACAAATTCTGCACTATTTTGAAATATGATCTGCATCAACTTCGTTCTGATTACTAATCTAGATCGACACTAACTGCTTATTAGAACTAAATATATGACTTTCCGCCCGGGATATACTCCACAGACCACCATTTCCCATTTCAGTTTGGGAATTTCAAAACATTTCTCGGGAGAACTCCCCCCCCCCTCATTTTTTTAGGGTGTCATATTGTCACTGACTCAATGACAGACCTTCCTGTCTTTTTCTCCACAGCAGTAAATTTAAAATTAAAAACAATCACATTATAAGCTTCAACCAAAGATATGGTGTTTTATACAAGACAAAATACATATAAATAATCACATGAATAAAAACACATATAAAAAATACATGAATAAAAACAAATATTACAGTAAATTTAAATTTTAAAAAAATATCACAAAACTTTATGTATATATATTTAAAATACAAATGAACAAAAAAATCACGTATCAGTTAAAAATTTCTGTAAATATTTGTTCTTGGCTGGATCACGTGAAGAGAACTCTGCATAGGATTTTGGTGCTGCCGTTGTTAATTTCCACTCGAGATGTTAATATTTGCCATCAATTATATCACATTATATCAATTCAAATTTTGTGTAACAATGTGTCGTTTGCTGGATCACACGAAGACAACTCTTATGATATTTAATATTATTATACTTTTAAATGAGCGAAATGGTGCATAAAAATTATGTCGTTGAAGCAACGACTGCAAGGCTTACAACTAGCTGCAATTTGAAGCCGTGGCAATTCTTATCCACGGCTGAAATTGATACACTATTTAAATGGTGATCTGTGTTCAAAATATTTTGCAATTGAACCTAATTTTACTTGCGCAAAGCCTCGAGTATTGTAACCATAATTATTGTAGCCTTACATCAAATAATTATCACGGCTCACAGATATTGCAGCTCCTACACATTTGTGTCCATTTCTAGGTCTAGCCTGGAGGTCGGGTGTTCGATCCCTGCATTGGCCGAGAAAGTTCATCCAGATTTTCCGGCGTGATTCTCCCTTGTCAGTGATGCAGGACGGAGGGGCTGACAAGGAAAGCTGTCTAGTCGTTCGGATGGGATGAAAAACCGAGGTCCCGTGTACACATTGGCGTGCACGTAAAAGATCCCTTGGCAGTTGGAATTCGATATAAGAGTAGGCCGTAGTGCCGCTGTCCGGGCAAAATTTCCCTCATAGCACACTGTATGGCGTATGCCCGTCTTCATTAGCCCAGGTTAGGAGCAGAACAGTAGGACGTTAAACTTCATTTCATTTCCATTTCTAGGTGCCAAAAAATAGGAATTTAGCAGGCGTGAACGTCATAAATTATTAAATAGATTTTTGATATTTTACTATTTCGTTTCTTGTTTATATCGCTGAAGTTCAAAATTTGTAATTACCGTATGACCAGATACGGCAACTGTAAAATTACAACCGACCGCGGGAATAAACTCGTCCTAAAGAAACGCCGTACGTCGGTAAAACTTTAAACCTACTGGACCAATGCTTTACAAGGGTTTGTTGTTACAACTTCACGCATTATTATATTGTTAACAATCCAATATACGGAGGGTAGGACGATTTATCCAATGGCGCACCGTACCAATTATGAAAAACTGATAGGCCCTAGAAGTAGAAATGCAAAACAATAGATTGAGTTAGCAGGCCAGAAAACTTTCAAAAAATGCAGCCCTAGCTACTAGCAGTTAGTACTAGTACTGTAGTAGGTATGTAAATGTGATGGTCAGTGTCTTGCCATTTCAGTTATAATCTGTCTTTATCACCGAATGATGCTAACAAATTGGGGATGCGCGATTGTCAGTCCGGTGTGGCAGTTTCAGATGGTTCCTGGTGTGTGATTACCGTTTGGCGCATGCGTAGTTGTAGGAGTCAACTCACACCGTTACAGTCGCGGTGTGCATTGACTCCTCGTGATAGGATTTCCCCTAAGATTTTCTTACGGTCAAATCAATATATAGACTATTATGTACCAATATTTACAGTATTACCACCACGAGAGGATGCAAATTGACGATCTTTATTATTATTATTTAGTATATATTATACCCGTCCACAATGCGAATATTCTCTCTTGTATTTGGGCTGTCTACATGCATGTTTGAATGTACATGTATGGGATGGTATAATAAATTTATATTTATGTTCAAGAAATCGGAATAAGAAATTCCATACTTTTATATTTGTGATAAATGAAGCCACGAAATATCAAAGGCCTTAATCTTCCTTTGGAGGTGAATTAATTGATAATTTCAAGCCAATCATCAATTTGTATGGTTTCCACTGATCGTACGTGTGAAGAACGACTAATCACTAAAAAAAAAACAACGGCAACAAATCACGAACGATAGAAGTATCAATTTCAAGCCAATCAACTTAGATCCGTTGATCGTGTAACTACTCATCACTATTTTTCATCCACTTTATAATGTATTTAGCATGCTGACTGTAATGTATAATTTACATGCTGCCCGAAAAGGGTGTTTTATGTAATAAAATCTATCTATCTATCTATCAAAAACAACAGCTAATCACGATAACAAGTATGTTTATTAATGACAAAACTCTTAATCAAGTACATGATATACTTTTTCCTGTACTGACCAGGAACAAACTCGCACCGCAGGAAGTAGATATAGTTTCGTTGTTAAGGCAAACATCAGTTTCGGACATGCGCAAGTGCCCAGGAGAAAACACACACCAGGAGTCAACTCAAACTATCACACCGGAATGTTATAAGATAAGATTATATTAATATCGAAATATCCATTGATGACTGCATACAATATAAACATGTAGGCCTACCGGTACATATTATAAAATATACAAATAATATATATATTTACAAACAAGACAAATCGATGATTGATGGAATCATCGAGTGACACGGAATTCGGTCCTGTCACAGTTCTGTCAGTCCTGACAACGGAGGTAGTGTGAGTAGAATTGTGACGTAATTAAACACAACGAATATGTTTCAGCTGTCATGGATGGTCGAGATATTTTCTCATGCAGTCGGTGCATGCATTCTAGCCCAAAATCACCATTGTCACTCGATTGTCACTATTTTGGGGTTTGACAGAATTCAATTCTGGAACGTTCAATCCAATGTTCCAGGCTAGTCCTACATATTAAAGGGACAATAACACTCTTGCTGGCTTGAAAGCTCCAGAAAATAAATAATATCTCTATCTAAGTACTAGATGTTTAAGTGTCCTACATGTTGTGTAAATTATCCATTACATCCTATTTTACTTGTCCAGAGGGTTCGAAAATATTTTTAAATCGAAGTTTCATTTGGAAAGGTTTACGTTAGACGTTTCAAACCATTATGTTGAATTTTTCAAAATTTTTAAATAAGGTGTGTTAAGATGAAATTTGTATCATCAATTAATTGAAATATTCTAAAATAGTACAATTTGTTGACCAGAATAAAGATTGGGACATATTATTCAGTTACAACAAGAGTGGTATTGAGCCTTTTAGTTATGGATGTTACAGCCACAGGAAAGAACAATTTTTATGTCATTCACTTCTTTGATTTTCATACAAAGTTATGCTTGGAAACGATGTAGGAATTGGACCAACTACTAAACAGCATGGCACTAGAGGATGTGTCAAATGATGGCCACACACCAAATTTCAGCCGATTCGATCTTATTTTACAGACCTTTAATTTTTCATATTTTGCCAAGATTTCACCTGTGACCCAGATTGTCATTTTGCTTTTTTACTTAGATTTGGACATCAAGAACCTAAGACGACTTCCTACACATTGAGCTTTCTTGCCAACAATAATAACTTCATTAGAGTCGGCACTTTAAACCATCCATTGTTTGTTTGATGGGTGGTCTGACAGTCTCTGATGGCCCCTTAGTACGTGACGAGTCGATAATCAAATGGTCCTGTATTCTGAGTGTTTGATTGACAGTAAACAACACAGAAAACATAACCAAGCTGTAGTTGTTCTGATTGTTCCTTAGTACGACAATCCATTATTCCGATATCCTGTCATGACAATCGACCCATAAATCCCCGCCCCTGTTCCCCGTTCTTCTAATCTTTCCTCATTTCCTCACTGTTTTGACATAATTACATTTTTTTATTAACCCAAATTATTTCTACTATTTTTTTCTTCAGGATAAGCTACACAGAAGAAGGAATATCAAGTCAAAAAATAGGTTGTGGACCTTGTTTCCTCTATGAGTCAAAATGAGTTCAACATGTGTGATGAATCAAGTGGTACAAACTCATCTATTAATATCCAAGATAGATGTAAACAGTATTATACAAACCTGTGACAGTCTGGTCATAAATCATAATACAACCATCAAACAACTTATCTCCCTTTTCTCTAAAATATCTGGTTATGATTCTTACTGTGAACAGATTGTGTCTTTATGTAACCAGAGCTTGTCTGATACGGTAAACAGTTGCAACACTGTAGTAAATGTCTGTAAATCGTTAAAACCTATAGATTTGTCGCCAGATACTTATTTGGCAGTCGATCATGGCAAAGTTCCTGGAAGTTCAACATTTGTTGAACCTAGTAACCATATCGCTAACGAAACCATTTCAAAGGCATGTGAAGCCACAAGTTTTTTCCAAAACAATGTCTCACCTTCTATTTTAAAACAACATGTAGCAAGAAGAAAACACAAACCATCCATATTAAAAATAAGTAAACCCAGCATAACCATAGCAACAAGTAAACCCAGCATAACCATAGCAACAAGTCAACCTGAATTACCCATAGCAACAACAAGACCTGAATTACTCATAGCAACAAGTCAAGATGAATTATCCATAGAAACAAGTCAACCCAAGATACTCCTAGAAACAGGTCAACCTGAATTACCCATAGCAACAAATAAACCCAAAATAATGACAGCAACAAGTCAACCTGAATTACTCATAGCAACAGATCAACATGAATTACCCATAGAAACAAGTCAACCTGAATTACTCATAGAAACAGGTCAACCTGAATTACCCATAGAAACAAGTCAACCCGAGATACTCATCATAGAAACAGGTCAACTTGAATTACCCATAGCAACAAGTCAACCCGAGATACTCATCATAGAAACAGGTCAACCTGAATTACCCATAGAAACAAGTCAACCCGAAATATTCATAGAAATAGGTCAACCTGAATTACCCATACATGTAGCAACAAGTCAACCCAACATAGCCATAGCAACAAGTCAACCTGAATTACCCATAGCCACACAGCAACATGAATTACCCATGGAAACAAGTCAACCTGAATTACTCATAGCAACAGGTCAGCATGATTTACCCATAGAAACAAGTCAAACCAAACCAAGTAAACCCAACATATTCATAGAAGCAAGTGAACCTGAATTACTCATAGCAACAAGCCAATCCAAAACAAGCATTTTAACGAGAAGTAAATCCAACATAACCGTGGCAACAAGTGAACCTGAAATAGCCACATCAACGAGTAATCCTGAAATACCCACATCAACGAGTAAATCTGAATTCCCCATAGTAAAGAATACGCCTGAGTTACCCAAAGCAACATCATCAAACCAAACCAACAGGAAATCATCAACAATTGTTCCAACGTTAAAAAATGCAACTGATAGTGAAACAATTGAAGCCATTGACAAATTAATCCAAAACAATGCCAATTTACTGCAATCTCATTTGGTATCAAAAAGAAAGCATTTAGTACCAAAAAGCAAGCATTTAGTACCAACAAGCTCGCATAAAGTATTTATCAGTGAGCGTCACCCAAAGCCATACGAGAGATTTATTTGTGATATTTGTGAGAAAATCTTTACACGTGGCAGTTTGAAAAAACATAAACTCACTCATCTGGATCACAAACCTGTTGCCTGTCCGTACTGTGATTACAGGTGTGTTAGTAAGAATTATTTGACGGCTCACCTGCAGAGACACAACAGAGAGAAAAATTACCAGTGTGAGAAATGTGGTAAATGTTATACTCGAACGGCCAATCTGAGACGTCATGAATTGACTCACACTGTCACTAAAAAACAAAAATATCTCTGTGATCCTTTTGGGACATGGGTATTAGCATAAACTGTATACACACGATAAGACAATTCAATGGCTGTGTGAGGTAAAACTTTAAGCCGAAAATACTGTTTGGATAAGCACTCGATGGGTCACAGCCTAGAAGAAAAAAAAACATAGTAAAACATGTGAAGGTGGTGAGACATAGTGTAACATATGATGCTGGTGAGACATACATGTAGTACAACATGTGATGCTGGTGAGACATTGTACAAAACATGATGGTGGTGAGACATAGTACAACATGTGATGGTGGTGAGACATAGTATAACATATGATGGTGGTGAGACATTGTACAACATGTGATGGTGGTGAGACATAGTACAACATATGATGCTGGGGAGACATTGTATAACATATGATGCTGGTGAGAGATAGTACAACATGTGATGGTGGTGAGACTAGTTCATGTGACGGTGGTGAGACATTGTACAACATGTGCTCATGGTGAGACATAGTACAATATGTGAGATGAAAAATGAAGACTTCCGCTGACGAATCAGGCAAACATTTATAGTCATGTAATGAATAAAGTCTTTGATTTCATATGATTATATGACTTAACAATTAAAATTCTACGATTTTATTGCTTAAACTTTCTGGGTGTGTATAGTATGATGTGGTAATCAGTCTTTTTACAATCTAAGGGGGTGGGTGGCAGAATGGCTTAACAGTTGCGCCTTAGATCATGAATTCTGTCATTGAGTTTAGTGGCATGGTTTTGATTCACTGCTTGTACGTAACAAGGAGAAGGGTTGTCTGTCCAACCTCGTCAGTTTCTCTAGGGACCTTGTACTAAAAACATAAACAAAAATACTTTAAGGATCCAGTCTTTTCATTGGTTGAGAGATACAATCCTAGTACAAATTTTAGTTCTAAGCCAATGAAAAGGCTTTATTCTTAACATATATTAGTTGAAGTTTTCAAGAATAAAAGGGGGATCACTGGGCTAAGTGGGTAAGACGCTAACTCGCTAGCCCAGAGGTCGGGTGTTCGATCCCTGCATTGGCCAAGAAAGTTCATCCAGATTTTCCGGCGTGGTTTCCCCTTGTCAGTGATGCAGGACGGAGGGCCTGACAAGGACAGCTGTCTAGTCCTGTGGATGATACGAAAAACCGAGGTCCCGTGTACCGGTATATATTGGAATGCACGTAAAAGATCCCCTGGCAGTTGGAATTCGATATAAGAGTAGGTGATAGTGCCGCTGCCCGGGCAAAATTTCCCTCATAGCACACTGTATGGCATATGCCCGTCTTCATTAGCCCAGTGTAGGAGCAGAACAGTAGGACGTTAAGCCCCATTTCATTTCATTTCATTTCAAGAATAAAAGTCCTCCGATTGAAGACTTGAAATAAAACAACCGTTTGTTTGTCCGAAAATAGCTTAGACCCATGCTCTCTTTTGTACAATGTGATATAAAACAGGGAAATGATCTGGAATTGACTTTCTTTTGAAACTGAAATTGACTTTCTCTTGAAACTGAAATTGACTTTCCCTTGAAACTGAAATTGACTTTCTCTTAAATCTGAAATTTCGACACTGTCCTGTTCTCCGGATAGAATTTGCCAATAAATAAAAGAGCCTATGGCCTGCAACGTGGAATTAAACATTACCAAAGGGGGTGGGGGCATTATCGTATCTTTATACATGGCTTCATTTTTCATCTATCACAATAGATCCAATTGCATTAAAATCGTAAAAAAAAAACCCAAAAAACTTTTAAAGATGGGTTCCCGGAAAAGTATTTATCGGGTGGTTATTTCCCATAAAAGTATGGCAATTTTGGTATATATGTAAAGTAGAGATATCCAATCTTACTAGAAAAAAATACTGGATTCCCCGAAAAACACTCATGGAGCATATACAGGACAAAAAAACCCAAAAAACTTTTAAAGATGGGTTCCCGGAAAAATATTTATCGAGTGGTTATTTCCAATAAAAGTATGGCAATTTTGGTATATATGGAAAGTAGAGATATCCAATCTTACTAGAAAAAAATACTGGATTCCCCGAAAAACACTCGTGGAGCATATACAGGACAAAAATGTAAGGGTTCCCCTAATCGACTGCCCACATCAGTAAAAACAAATATCACAGGAAATTTACAATTAAAAACAAATATCACTGAACTTTATGTATATTTAAAATACAAATAAACAAAAAATCACATATCAATTAAAATTTTCTGTAAAGTAAATATTTGTTCTTTACTGGATCACGTGAAGAGAACTTTGCATAGGATTTTGGTGCTGCCGTTGCTAATTTCCACTCCAGATGTTAATATTTTCTATCAATAGATTTGGAAGCACAGAAATAGACAACTTTATCATAAAATTTAAATTATCATCTTTAAAAAAAAAAATGGTTATTCAAATTGGTTATCTTCTATGTAATTATGGATGTGGCGCTACTGTGGTTAAATCTGGCACTAGGTTGTAATTTTTGGAAGTAATAGTTGGAGATCACACAAAAATCACCATTGTTTAATAAGATGTGACATTGGTCACTAATATTTTCTTTTAAAGGCTCAATACCACTCTTGTTGTAACTGAATAATATGTCCCAATCTTTATTCTAGTCAAGAAATTGTACTATTTTACAATATTCCAATTAATTGATAATACAAATTTCATCTTAACACACCTAATTTAAAAAATTGGAAAAATTCAACTAAATGATTTGAAAAGCCTAACGTAAACCTTTACAAATCTGACTTGGATTTAAAAATATTTTCAAACCCTCTGGACAAGTAAAATAGGATGTAATGGATAATTTACACAACAGGTAGGACACTTAAACATCTAATACTTAGAATAAGGCTATTATTTATTTTCTGGAGCTGCCAATTAGCCAGCAAGAGTGTTATTGTCCCTTTAAATACTCACAGTTGATTTATGCAAGAATAATTTTATTGTGTCAGGAATGGTTTTGGCATTACCATGGTTAATGTTTTATTTAGGTAAACCCTTTTCACAACAAACGTCATAAATTAGTTTTCTGAATAGTTAGTTTTAAATATATTTTACTATTTCGTTTCGTGTCTATATCGCCGATTGTAAAAATTTGTATTTACCGTTGACAAAGATTTGGTTACCTTAAAACTGCAACCTGTTTTTGAGGAGAAACTCGTCCTGAAGAAACGCCGTACATCGGTAAAACTTCAAACCTATTGGGCCCATAAGGGTTTGTTGTTATTGCTTTACTAGGTAAAACACCGATTATATTGTTAACAACCCCAATATACAGAGGGCAATAATATCGAGCGATGTTCACTAATGCGCTATAGTTACTTTTTAGCAACGGATTCTTATCAGACTCTGTCATATGCTCGTCACTGCCGGATCCTAATTCTTATTTCTAATATTAGTAATATGAAAATAATAAGGCTTTTCCCCTACCTAGGTTCTAAAGCTATTTTGGAATCTTTACCCCCTATTTTTCTGTGTGATTCTTCATTGTTCGCCAAAAGGAATCCTTGCCACAAATTTATATAATAATCCAATTCTAATGTTATTTTCATGTAGAACTTAACGATCCCAAAACTTTTGAAAAACACGAATAAGATTCGTTTGAGAATTGATCCGCCATTAATCAAGACTGTGCACATGACGTAAAGATGTCAAATTTAAAATCCCGGGTAAAGCCAACCATTTATCGCTACAATTTATAAGAGATGATTTGTACTCGTGTCAGGTAGGATTAAAATGCTTAAACTACTTAAAGGACAATATTGGTGTCAGCCATTATCACATACTGTATGTGATAGAACTGGTCTGACATGTTCCAAATATAATTTTAACACAGAAATCATTGCCATGATAAATGCATAATGAAGATTTTAAAATAACGGAAATGCCGCTTCTATGTAACTGACTGAAGTGAAGGATACATGGGCAAATTTCTGCTCACTCATATTCATAATTCCTTGGAAGACCCAAAGTTGTGATATGACACTGGGAGGATATCTGACAATTCATAAAAAAAATTGACTGTCACTAGATAAGAGAAAACGGAAAAAATAAAAAAAAGTCTGTTCATTACCATGTTTTTATTAAGTACCATATAGAATGAATAAAAACAAGGGAATGTATGGACTATTTCGCTTGCTATTTCTGGAATATCAGTATTTTAATCAGATGGACCGCCCCTTATTGGTACAGTTCGATAACCAAATGTTCCCGTATTGCTTGTGTTTAATTGACAGTAGTTTTGATTGTCTCTTAGTATGACAATCTATTATTCCGATTTTGGGAGGGGGTGGGTGGGTGTATGGCCGAATGGTTAGCACGTGCGCGCTGTATCATACGGCCTGTCATTGAGTCACTAGCAGGGAGTTCCCCGGTTGTACGTGACAAGAAGTAGTGTCTTCTGTCCAACCTCAGGGGTTTTCTCCGGGTCCTCCGGTTTCCTCCCACTGCTAAAAACCCCTACGCGCAAGTGAATTATTGAAATAAAATTGAACCATGTGTTGTCCCGAAATAACCTACTTTGTGTCGATTCGAGGTTAAACCCCATTTGTCGCTCTCTCTTTATTCCGATGTCCTGTCAGATTCCATGTTTAATATACTAGTTCACGACAATCGACCCATAAATCTCACACCCCACTCTTCTAATCTTTCCTCATTCATATATACTAGTTGATGACAGACGAGTCACGACCCATAAATCTCACCCCCCCCCCTTTCTTCTAATCTTTCCTTATATCGAGATGTTGTAGAGGTATGAAAGCTTTTGACATAACTACATCTTTTATTTAACCCAAATTATTTCTACTATTTTTTTCTTCAGGATAAGCTACACAGAAGACGGATCATCTGGTCAGTTGTGGACCCTGTTGCCTCGATGAGTCACACCTAGTTTGTGTCGAGTGGACGTTAAACCCCATTTCTCTCTCTCTCTCTCGATGAGTCAGATGACTTCAACATGTATGATGAATCAAGTGGTACAAACTCATCTATTAATATCCAAGATAGATGTAAACAGTATTATACAAACCTGTGACAGTCTGGTCATAAATCATAATACAACCATCAAACAACTTATCTCCCTTTTCTCTAAAATATCTGGTTATGATTCTTACTGTGAACAGATTGTGTTGTTATGTAACCAGATCTTGTCTAAGACAGTATCAAGTAGCAACACTGTAGTAAAGGTGTGTAAATCGTTAAAACCTATAGATTTGACAGCCGGTAATGGCGAAGGTCCTGGAAGTTCAACAGCTGTCAAACCTAGTAACCAGATTGCCAAGAATACAATTTCAAAGACATGTGAAGTCACTAGTTTATACCAAAATAATGTTTTACCTTCTATTTTAAAACAACATATAGCAAGAAGACAGCCCCTAAAAAGAAGTAAACACAGTCTACTAAAATCACCCATAGCAATGAATAATCCTGATTTACCAACAGTAACAAGAAACCCTATGTTACCCATGGCAACAAGTAAATCTGGATTATCCATAGTATCAAGTAATCTAAAATTTCAACCGCCAAGCAGTCAAGGTAAATTACAAATTGCAACCAGTCTACTAAAATCACCCATAGCAAAAGACAAAACTGATCTGTTGATAACAAATAATAAATCTCAAATAAACATAGCTCCAAATGAGCGTAAATTACCTGATTTTCCCAATTCAGCCGATAATCCTAATTGCACCCTAGTAACCAGGACACCTGAATTATCTGTAGGAGGAAGTATATCTGAATTCCCCATAGTAACCAACAGGCCAGAGTTAGTGACAGCAAAGACGAAATTACCCATACATGTGAAAACATCAACACAAATGAAACCTGAACCAACACTAAAACATGCGGCTAAAATAGAAACCTTTCAAGCTGTTGATGACCTTAACCTGAGTGCTTTGGAAGGTGAAGGTCAGGTTTTAGTAATCATTGAGGGAGATGAGACATTGGAATTTAATGAGGTTACAAATCTATACAATGATCTAACCATACCAATGAGTAAACCCAACAAATCCATAGCAACAAGTAAATCTAGATTATATATAAGAGATAAACCCAATGTAAATCTGGTAACAAGGAAACCACAGTTATTTATATCAACAAGTAAATCTGAATTCAATGAAACGGATAAGCCCGAGTTGCCCATAGCAACTGATCCTGAGTTATTCATATCAACAAGTAAATCTGAATTCCCCACAGTAACCAATATGACCGAGTTACCCATAGCAACAAGTAAACATGATTTACCTACAGCAACATCACCAAACCAAAACAACACTAAATCATCAACAATTGTTCCACCAATACTAAAAAAGTCAACTGAAAATGAAAAAACTGCAGCCATCAATAATATACTACAAAACAATGCCGTCAATGCCGATGTACTTCATTCATTACAAACAAGCAAACAAAATAAGAAATTCACCAAAAGGTGTTATCGATTTCAATGTTCCTTGTGTCCAAAATCATTTGACCGCAACTCATCTCTGATACGACATACAAACTTTCATGCCTGTAGAGAGGGTAGATTGACATATATTTGTGAAATTTGTGGGAAAATATTGAAAAAACGTGACCGTTTGAGAGAACATAAACATATTCATCTAGGTCACAAGCCTGTTGCCTGTCGATACTGTGACTATAGGTGTGTTAGTAAACGTTATTTAGCTATTCACATGGTAAAACATAGTGGAGAGAAAAAACAGCAGTGTGCGCAATGTGGTAAATGTTTTACACACTTGCGCACATTGAGGTTTCATGAATTGATTCACAATGTCCCTGAATAAAACTTTCTTTGTGTCATATGGTTGCTTTGTGCAAAAATATCAAGTGCATTGCCATAAGAAGCAAAAATAAGAAAACACAATTCGACACCATAGATATGATTTACTTGTGAAATTTGTGGTAGAAAATATAAACATAATAAGTCGCAACCAAAACATAGTAAAACTATGATGGTGGAGAAAGGAAAATTATACAATTCAGGCCTGGAGTTCACGAAGCATTCTCAGACTTAAGTTAAGAATTTACTCAAAATTGTTCACTTTATTTTAACTAAAATATAGCCCTTATAAAACTCTTGTTGTTTTAATGTATCTGGGAAGGGGGGGGGGGGGTAGATGCCCTAATGGTTAGCATGTGCACATTGTATCACAAGGTCTGTCATTGAGGCAAATGGTGTGGTTTCGATTCCCCGGTTGTATGTGACAAGGAGTAGGGTCGTTTTCTCTAGTTTCCTCCCAGTGCTAAAGACCCCACGCGCTGGATGCTCTAGATTACGCTCTCGAGGCTAAAGTTAATATTCGATTGACTTTAAATTTATACACAGTGTTTAATGTCATGAGACGAAGAAGCCTATTGATTTTCAGCGATTTCCGATAATTACTGCCAGAATTATGGCCCTTGATCACTTTGAAAAATCTTGTAGGCTAAAGTTAATATCCGATTGACTTTAAATTTATACAGTGTTTAAGGTCATGAGACGAAGAAGTCTATTCATTTTCAGCGACTTTTGATAATTACTGCCAGAGTTATGGCCCTTGATCACTTCAAAAAATCTTGTGGATGCTCTAGAGGCCAAAGTCAATATTCGATTGACTTTAAATTTATACACAGTGTTTACGGTCATAAGACGAAGAAGCCTATTGATTTTCAGCAAATTCTGATAATTACTGCCAGAGTAATGGCCCTTGATTCTTAAAAAAATCTTGTGGATGCTCTAGAGGCTAAAGTTAATATTTGATTGACTTTAAATTTATACACAGTGTTTGAGGTTATGAGACAAAGAATCCTATGGATTTTCAACTATTTCCGATAATTACTGCCCAAGTTATGGCCCTTGATCACTTTGAAAAATCTTGTGACGCTCTAGAGGCTAAAGTTATCATCCGATTGACGTGGATTGATAATTACTTCATGAGTTGTTACTCTTAATCAGATTTTAGTGTATTATAAATGTTTCATTACCAAAAAAAGTAAAAATATGTGACAACACTTGTTGACTGCCCGGACGATTTAGATCCCAACACAACAGTATGTTTGGTTGCTTGGCAACCTATCTTTTTGTGTTTCTGGATCAAAAATATTTTTAATAAACAGGGATTGAAAGTTGAGTAAATTCTTAACTTAAGTCTGGGAATGCTTTGTGAACTCGGGGCCTGATGACGATGTTGGGTGAAGATTTATAGGCATTTAATGAATAAAGTGTTTGAGTTTAATGTTGAATTGTAATCATTAACGTCAATTAATTAAACGTGTCCCTCCCTCCCATATACAAAAAAAAAAATCTTTATGTCAAATAATCTGTCATGAAGCAGATAGCTTACCATCCTCTGTATTCCCAGTTCCGTTATACTCCACAAACCCCCTGGGTTCATTCACAGGGTAGACAGATAATCAAATTATCTGCACTTGATAACTGTACTAATGTTATTGACCAATCATAAATTTTTTTAAAGCAAAACGAAGGGAAGTAACTTGCATTTTATTGCAACTAAGATTGTCAAATAATTGTTGCAAACTCAAAAACTCAAATGTTCTGATAATCCAAGTCACTGAAGCAGATAGCTTACGAGAATGTGAGCGTTGTATCATAAGGTCTGCCATTGAGTCAACTGGCCTGGTTTTCGATTCCCCCATTGTACGTGTCAAGGGTTAGGGTTAAAAATTAAATGAGTTTTCAACATCCAACTTTTCTGCACCCGGTTTAATAAAGACAGGCATCCCTATACAGTGTAGTCTTGGGGACTACAGCCTTCTATGGGTTCTTTTACATGCACGTCAATGTTTGTTTGAGATCTTGTTTTTTCTTGTCATCGAAATAACTAGACAATGTTCCTTGTCTCACCATCAGACCAGAAGAAACCACGCCAGAAGTTCCTGAGGAACTTTCTCAGTTAAAAATGAGAGCGAAGGGTGGGGGTAGCCATGGTGGCAAAGTGGGTAAGATGCTGGCTTGCTAGCCTGGAGGTTGCATGTTCGATCCCAGCATTGGCCAAGGAAGTTCATTGGGATTTTGAGTGTGGTTTCCCCTTGTCAGTGGTGCAGAACGGAGGGCCTGACAAGCACAGCTGTCTAGTCATTCGGATGGCATGAGGACCCGTGTATGCATTAGCATGCACGTTGGCAGATGGAATTCGATATAAGATTAGGCCACAATGCTGCTGCCCGGGAAAAATTTCCCTCATAGCTAATTGTATGACGTATGCCCACCTTCATTAGCCCAGTCGGAGCAGAACAAGACTCAAGAGGACATTAAACCCTTTTTTATTAAATTTTTTGGGAGTGGCTAGTGAGCCAGTACAACGCCACCACTGCCCCCGTTCCAAGAGATGGGGCATGGGTTAAATCACATCTTTATTTTCAAAACTTTGCCTTGATAAACAAGGCATAAGGAGAAGCTACGCTGTAGCGGAACAAATCTGGCAGATATAACATAACTATTCATAATTAGTCTACGAACATATGACTTAATATGAGTATGAGTGTAGCCTATGCCATAATAATATGGTATATTTCAAATTCATATAGAATTTACTTCCAGATCACTGATGTATTTTCAAGGTGTAACCCAATGGATGGGTGAACATTAAATGTATGATATAAAGCTTCAAACTCCATACAAATGAAAAGATTAAAAATTTAACATAAAATTCAAAATCAGTTGATATTGTGGGCTGACCTCTTTATAGTGTAACCAATGCGAGTAGGCTCCCTTTAATTAGAGACTGGTTAATCTGAAAATGCAACTATCCATAAACATAACAGGAATTTTGTATTAAATGTTGGGACTAACCAAAGGCATAGATTGGTTTTACAATTAAAAAAAGAGGTAAATTTGTATACTTTAATAAGGACAGTGGTCTTGAGACACCCTTAAACAATGAGTAAATGGGAGAAAGGATCGTGGGCGTTTTGTGAGTTGTGTAGGCCTAGCCAGTGACTGAGACTGAGTGGTGTAAATAAAACGGAACCGAAGCGAAATGTCTGAACACCACGATAGACGATAACTAAGTTTAGCCACGTCAGAAAAATGAAGCTTGGTCTACTCGACAACAAATAGACAGTTATCTGACTTTACATGATCTGTTGATTTTAAAGTAGCTAAGTCCGTAACTCAATATCGCCCAAAATATTCGACATTGAAAACACGAATTTTTTTGCAATTTAAATCAGCATTGGTGTTGTGGTCTTACCTGGAAAATATGGGCTTCTGATATCCAATATTTAAGACAAAATAAACATTTTACCATTGGTACACAAATCGTGTACCATAATGCGTTTCAGCGCCATTTGTAGCAAGGTGCTCAAAGAATGAGGCTAGACATATCCCACAAATCATGTCAAACGGTGATGCCATATTCTTATTTGGAGAGCGTGCGCAATATATACTATCTGTGTTGACTGGAATAACCAGATGCTAGAAACTGTCTTTCGGTTGAGACTGCTGGCGTATTTCGCCGAACATAACTGATGACAATTCACAGTAAAACGGAAACGATTGAATGTAAAACAGTTTATATAAATTCATATTACATTATTATATGTGTTGCGACCCATTTCTGCCAATTTCTAGGCCCAAAATATTAGCGATTTAGCTCCTCTAAGTAATTTGTGATAAATAATGTGTCAATTTGTTTAAAAATGAGCTCGATAGCTCTTGTCTATGTCAATGTGTACATGGGACTTTGGTTTTTTATACCATCCTAACAACAAGACAGCTGTCCGGGTCAGGCCTTCCAACCCGCATCACAGACACGGGGGAAACACGCCCGAAACTCTGGATGAATTTTCTCGGTCAATGCAGGGATCGAACTCCCAACCTGCAGGCTAGCATGCCAGCATCTTAGCCACTGTGATGCAGGCCGGAAGACCTTACAAGGACAGCTGTTTCGTCATTCAGATAGGATGAAAAACCGAGTTCAAGTATAAAAATTGGCGTGAACGTAAACGATCCCTTGGCAGTTAGAATTTGATATAAGAGTAGGCCCTAGTGCCGCTGCCTGGGCAAAATTTCCCTCGTAGCGCACTGTATGACATATGCCTGTCCTCATTAGCCCATGTAGGACATTAAACTTCATTTCATTTCAATTTCGTCAGATCCTCTGGTTTCTTTCAGCTGAGCCCTACACACAAGCCAATTATTGAAATAACATTGTACCATATATCTATATGTTAGTCCAGAAAGGACGTAGTTTGTATTGAGTGGATGTCAAACCCGATTTCTCTCTTTTTAAAATAATTGTAATTTGTTCCACTATTTATCTTTACTACCGGTATTTGTTATTTTCAGTTCATTATAGACGACATCGACCAACAACAGAATACTCCAATTACAATAGGTGATGAACTTGGTAGATCTTGGATAAACTACCATGAGTTCAACATCTGCAGTAAACCAAGGTGGAGAAGCTCATCTGTCAATCTCAGACAATGACCTAACAACGATCACAGAATCATGTGAAACCCTCATCATAAGACAAAAGATTTCAGTTCAAAAAATTATCTCCATTTTTTCCAAGATAAAGGGTTATAATTTTTTCTGTAAACAGATTGTGAACTGTTGTAATCAGATCCTGCATGACACAGTAACCACTAGCAACACGATATTAACAGTGTGTAACTCAATAAAACCAAAAGATGTTTACATGGTGGTCGATCATGATGACGCTACTAAAGGTTCGACCTCAACCGGACAAAGTAATCCGCTTACCTTGGAAATGATCACAAAAGCGATTGAAGCCAGTCAAATATTTAAGAACAGTTTGCCACCATCAAATTTACAGTTACCCGTAGCAACAAAGCCGAAATTAACCATGGCAACAAGTAAAACTGAATTACCCATACATGTAACAACAAGTAAATCTGTGTTAAAAGTGAGTAAACCTGAATTGCCTACGGTAACTAGTAACACATCGTTACCCAAAGCAACAAAGGAGCCAAAAATACCAATAGCCACAAGTAATCTTGAACTACCCATAGCAACCAGTCAGCAGAAATTATCTATAGCAGCCAGTCAAGAGAAAGTTTCTATTGCAACCAGTGGATCCATTAAACCAGCACAGAGAACTTCTACTAAAACAGTAACAGATGAAGCCATCAGTAATATAGGCCTTCCCCAGAACTACGCCACTGCCAATATACCCGATTTCAACTTGCTACAGTGTAATTTAAGACCAAAACGCAAAAGAAATAAGGAGCTTAGTGAATCATTACCTCCACTAGTAAACACTTCTCCTAGTGTGCCTCTTTTATCCAATGATACAGTGTGTAAAACTGTGCCTCCTACATCCAGTAATACAGTGTGCACAAGCGTGAAGTCACAAATCCTTGAAACATCAGGCCAGTTGCCAATGGCAACTTCATCTGTTTGTTTTACAGGAGATACTTCTGATGTGTCTCTTACATCCAGTGATGCTATGTGCAAAGGTGTGACTCTTTTATCCAGTGAAACTGTGTGTAAAGGTGCTACTTTGCCATCCAGTGATACAGTGTCTAAAGGTGTGCCTCTTTTATCCAGTGATACAGAGTGTACCATTCTCAAGACATCATCAGTATCTGTTCCTATAAATAACTCTGTGCAACTTGCATCCGTTGATGATGTAATTTATAGAGATGTATCTCTTCCATCCAGTGATATAATTTATAGAGATGTATCTCTTCCATCAAGTGATACAGTTTGTAATGATGTGTCTGTTATATCAGATGATACAATGTGTCAAACCAATGGAACATCGAGTCAGAGCTCACTCATTGAGATCAGAATAGAAAATGACCTTGACCTAACTGCTTTGGGAGGTGAAGGTAATATTGTACTAGTTTTGCATGGAGATGAGTCATTGGAATTTAACGATGTTACCAATCTATACAAGGAAAGTCAGCCCCCTGTCGTATGTATTGATGCCAAAGATCAGCCCCCTGTCGTATGTATTGATGCCAAAGATCTGTTCGACAATTTGAAAACGGCCGATAACAGTGCATACGAGGAGATTATAATTACACCAAATAATTCAAGAAAGACCAATGAAATTATACTATATAATTGTGATCTCTGTCCGAAATCATTTGAAAGTAAAGCTGGTTTACTACGACACAACAAATCACACGTACGTTATAAATGTGATCTCTGCCCGAAAACATTTGATCATAAAGCTTTTTTACTACGACACAACAAATCACACGAAAATAAAGCTGCTCGATTGGTCAGGAAACAAAATCAAACTTTTATCTGTGAAACTTGCGGGAAGATTTTCAAGAAACTTGACCGATTACGGGACCATAAGTTAATCCACCTGGATCATAAACCCGTGGCTTGTCCATACTGCGATTACAGGTGCGTAAAAAAAAATTACATGAAGAGTCACCTGATTAAACATGTTGGCGAGAGAATTCATCAGTGCGAGGAGTGTGGAAAGTGTTTTAATCGAATAGAAACCCTACGAAGCCATTCTTTCATCCATCAATTCCCCGAAAAACACTTTGCCTGTAACATGTGCCCAAAGCGCTTTTTACAACGGAGTGCGTTGTATAATCATAAAAGTGAAATGCATCGTGAATCGAAGAGATTTTCGTGTATGGTTTGTGGCCAGGTCTTCAAAAGAAAAGATGCCGTAAATTCACACATGAGGCGCCACACGGGAGAAAAACCATTCGCTTGTGAAACTTGTGGAAAAAAATATCGACATAAATCAGCGAAATATGCCCACAGTAAAAAATGTGATGGGAAAGAAGAAGAGGAAGAATCGTTGGATGACTCCGAAGAAGAAGATTAAACAGTTCTCAAGTAGGTTTACTATCAACAATTTATCTCAAGTAGTCCTACTATTAACAATTTAACTCAATTAGCCCCACTATCAACAATTTGTCTTAATTAGGCCAACTATCATTCAACAATTTATCTCAATTAGGCCTACTATTAACAATTTATCTCAATTAGGCCCACTATCATTCAACAATTTTTCTCAATTAGGCCCACTATCAACAATTTATCACTCAAGTAGGCCTACCATCAACAATTTTTCTCAATTGGGCCCACTATCAACAATTTATCACTCAAGTAGGCTTACCATCAACAGTTTATCTCAAGTAGGCCTACTATCAACAATTTTTCTCAATTAGGCCCACTATCAACAATTTATCTCAATTAGGCCTACTAACAACAATTTATCTCAAGTAGGCCTACTATCAACAATTTATCTCTTGAGTAATGTAAACACTGTTTAGCACTTTTTTTTTTCACATTATCTCAGGAATGAAACAGGGTTCCCGGCTAAACGTTTCTGCACTAACAGGGGCTGATGAAAAGGGACATATGCCATGCAGTGTGTTATAAGGGAAACATTGCCCTGTCGGTAGCATTTCCAACTGCTAAAGGGGAGCCACCGTGGCTAAGTGGGAAAGAAGCTGGCTCATTAGTCTGGAGGTCAGGTGTTCGATACCTGCATTGGCCGAGAAAGTTCATCAGGATTTCCGATGTGGTTTCCTCTTGTTAGTGGTGCAGGACGGGGAGGGCCTTATAAGGACAGCTGTCTAGTCATTCAATATAAGAGTAGGCGGTAGTGCTGCTGCCCTGGCAAAATTTCCCTTGTAGCATACTGTATGGCGTAGCCCGTCTTCATTAGCCCAGTAGGAGCAAAACAGTAGGACTTTCAAACCCCATTTCATTTCATTTCCGACTGCTAAAGGTTCTTTGGTGTGCATTTTGACATGTACATACATGTAGAACCTTGGTTTTCGTCCATCCTAATGAATATCTAGATCTACATGTATACTATTCAATCTGATTGAAACACAGATTCTACATGTATTTCGTTTTGTTTTTATAGTTCAAAATTTCATTTTACTTGTCTTTACTACACCAGGACGATCTGTTACAGCAAGGTTTTAGCTTGAGGTGCACGGAACTGTGGGTAACCCACTAGAAGTAGAAACATCAATGCTGATTGGTTAATCAAATGTCTGATGTCATAGGATCAAAAGCCGCTTGTTTGTATGACCACCTGACACAACCTCCCACTACAACTGGTCAGATATTCATGTAGTAGAGGCCATTGAAAGTACATGTATAAATAAACGAAACGAAATATAGATCTGTATTTAAATCAGATTGGATACTATTCCTTGTCCGACCCGTCCGTTCTGCACCACTGACAAGGAAGTTTATCGGTTAATGCTAGGAACGAACCTGGGACCTCCTGTTTGATGAACCAGAGCCTTGCACACTGAGCTACCTTTATCTTACAAATATCAGAATTTTTAGAAATATGGTACATGTATCTCAATCTATATTTTTTCGTTCTTTCAACGAACACACAATAGGAATAATTCCGTACAGTATTTTGAACTTTAAAACAGTCCACCATTGTATAAAGGGACATTAAGTCTTCTATTTTGGGGATAGGCCTATTTACTAATTTTTTTAAACTAAATTTCAATTTTTAATTTTCAGTTGATGGCAACAGATCAACTTCAAATGGCTTACTCAGTAAAATGGTGAATCTAACACGAGTTATGTCTCATGTATCCTGTAATGTCTTGAATTCAAGTGAGAATTAACAATACAACAAATAAAAATAAATCGGCTCAACAATAATGTACACTGATCATAGAAGAAGTCATCTTGACATAAGAGGGGAGTTGGATGTCCAAATGGTTAGCCCGTGCGCTCTGTATCATAAGGCTTGTCATTGAGTCAAGGGATAGGGTTGCCTGTCCAACCTCGTGGGTTTTCTCCCAATGCTAAAGACTCCTATTCGCAAGCACATTATTGAAATAAAATTGAACCATATGTTAGTCCCGAAATGACCTAATTTGTGTCTAGTGGACGTTAAACTCCTTTTTTTCTCTCTCTTGACACAAGAATCGTGCATACATAGAAGTACCGGTAGTTGAGTAGTCTTACAAGTATGATTGCTTTAGATTATTAGGTCTGTCATTGAGTCAAGTGCTATGTTTTCGATCACAAATGTGTATGTGACAAGGTTTTGGGTACCATACGTAAGTCCCTAAAGGACCCAGTTTTTGTCAATTTTTGACAAGAATCAGGTTCAGTAGTACTTGCTTAGTATTGGATAAGTGGCTTAAATGGGAACAGTGAATTCTGGACGAATAAGGACAAGACTGTAATGATAGAACAGATACATGTATATAAATAGTGCAAGAACAACTCTCAATAATGTTGCTGATGAATTTATTTTATATGAGGCGTTGGCTAGCTAACCAGGAGCTACTGACGTTAGTTCTTTTGGATTTTGGTACTTTATAACTTTAAAGATGCCTTACTATTCTCCCGGACAATGATAATGACACTGAACTTGCAAATTTATTCTCTGATTTCTTTCAAATAAAAATACAGAAAATACGAACTGAACTTGATGATTTAAATAAAACTATTGACTTTAACGCTCATGACTTTGATAAGTTAGAAAATTCTGTTTATTTAGAAAATTTTAACTTGGTTAGTGAATCTTTTGTTTTAAAGCTAATTAAATCGTCTGCTCCTAAATCTTGTTCATTAGATCCTGTTCCGACTTCTGTTCTTAAGGACTGTCTAGACGAAGTTATTCCAGTTTTTACCAATATTATTAATTCTTGTATATCATCCGCTACTATTCCTAACGTTTTCAAACGAGCTTATGTTACCCCTTTAATTAAAAAGTCTACACTGGATCCTAATTTTTTTAAAAATTACAGGCCAGTCTCTAACTTAAGTTTTATTTCTAAAATATTGGAGAAATAAAGGCCCATCTAGATGATAACTGTTTGTATGAACCATTTCAAAGTGCTTATAAACAATTTCACAGTACCCAAACAGCTTTAACCCGGGTTTCAAATGATATTTTAATGGAAATTGATAATAGAAAATGTACATTTTTAATTTTATTAGATTTATCTGCTGCTTTCGACACGGTGGACCCTTCCATTCTTCTACGTAGACTTCAATTTAAATTTGGTATTTGTGGCTCTGCATTAAATCTTTTAGAGAGCTATCTTGTGGGTAGAAAACAGTGTATTTTAGTTAATTGTAAATCGTCGTCTGAATCTGTTTTGTCATTGGGGTTCCCCAAGGTTCTGTTCTTGGTCCGATTTTATTTACCCTCTATACATCACCATTAGGCGATATTGTCAGGAAATATGGTCTCAGCTTTCATTTGTATGCCGATGATACTCAATTATATATTTCATTTACACCTAATTGTCCATCTTCTTTCAATTTATCAAAAGTGAAATTAGAAAATGGATGTCAAAGAACTTTCTAAAATTGAATGATGATAAAACCGAATATTTGTTATTAGGCTCAAGGCATCAATTAAGTAAATCTGCACATGATAACCCGCCTGTTGTAATTGGTAATTGTGATATACATGTATTTTCATCTTATTCTGCTCGTAATATTGGCGCTATCTTTGATAGTTTTATGCTTATGAGAGCTCAAGTAAATAATATTTGTAAATTGTGCTATTTTAATATTAGAAATATAGGTAAAATACGTAAATGTGTAACTGTAGAGGTCACTTGTTAATTCTCTGGTCACTTCTCGATTAGATAACTAATTCACTTTTAGTTGGTTTACCTTTAAAGCCTATAGATAAATTACAAAAAGTACAGACTACTGCGGCTAGACTTGTTACTTTAACTAAGAAATGTGACCACATAACTCCTGTTTTATATAATTTACACTGGTTACCTGTTAAATATCGAATTGATTTTAAGATTTTATTACTTACTTTTAAATGTTTAAATAATTTAGCTCCTGTTTACCTCTCAGATCTTTTAGAACTTTATACACCTGGCTGAACTTTACGTACATCAGATAAACTACTTTTAAAACCCAAAACTGTTCAACTAGTCTCTTATGGTCAGCGCTCTTTTAGTTATCAAGCACCTGTTTTATGGAATAATCTACCATTTAGTTTAAGATGTTGTACATCGCTATATTCTTTTAAAAAACAACTTAAAACACATTTATTTAATCATGCTTTTAACTGACTCTGTATACAATCGTTAACATGTCCATAATCTTGTTGTTTATTTATGATTACATTGTGACTTTGTAAAGTGTCCCTGAACATGTTATATGAAAGGGTGCACTATAAATATGCTGTAATAATAATAATAATAATAATAATTATGTAAGATTTCGGGGGTTTGGATGACCGAATCGTTAGCACGTGCGTATTGTATTATAAGGTCTGTCATTGAGTCAACTGGCGTGGTTTTGATTCTCCGGTCCAACCTCGTGGGTTTTCTCTGGGTCCTCCTACTGCTAAAGACACCTACAGGGAATCAAAACCACACCAGTTGACTCAATGACAGACGCGAACGTGCTAACCATTCGGCCTAAAGAAAGACCTGCAATAGGCAGATTTAGCTCTTGTATAATGTATATTTAATGATGTTTATGGCTGAGGTGTTAAAGATGGGGATACAGTGGTTATTGACTTTATTTATAAAATAATATTGTTTATTATGAAAGATGAATAAAACTTTTTCTGATACATTGAATATTTTTATTTGTGACTTACATATACTCTTCAAAAAAAGAAATGCATCCCGTTTTCATTGGGTTTTTTATTTGAATGGAATCGTGGTTTCCATAAATCTTACTTTTTTTAATGTCATTATGTAAGGATAAAAGAAATTCATTATTGGTTTTAAATGTAAGGTCACTAATTGTTCTTCTTTCAGTGTCATTTAGTAATTGAACAGTAACACACTAACACTATTTATGGAATAACAATCACTGGTTTATTAACATTGAACGTTTCGACGATGATACTCTCGTTTTTATCAAGCAAATGATGATAAAGACGAGAGTATCATCGTGGAAACGTTGCATGTTAATAAACCAGTGATTGTTATTCCATAAAATAGTGTTAGTGTGTCACTAATTGTGACTAGTCATCATTTTTGCCGAAATTTGTTTTCGTTTGATTGCACCAAGACACATGAGTTTAACAACCTCGCAAGCTTTTCGCATGAAATGTAAATCGGTTTCAAAATCAGTTGCACATGTAAACACTCAACTAGCAAAGTGATGCCACATCTGAACGAAGAACATCGCTATCGGTTGGTCACAAGTCGGTGAATCCGAGGCAGATGTAGCCAGGCTGCTGAATGTTTCTGGGTCGTCACATCCGGTTGCGTCATTTGCGGAAACGGTTCACAACAGCGACCTATACTGGATGGCGTAGGATCTCAGACCAAACAGTCCGTAAACGCCTACGTGAAACCCAATTTCTAGCCAGACATACGCCCTCACCGTCAAATCCGACTTCAGTGGGTTCTGACACACAGGGTATGGACACAGCAATGCTGGAGGATAGGTTGGTTCAGCGATGAGTCGCGGTTCGTGTTGCAACGAGGCGATGGTAGAGTGAGGCGAGGGTATATTTAGTAATAATCATCAAATGTGTGGTGGGCGTGATCAGGTACCCAGGTCTCAAAGTTATAAAATGGGCATCAAAGTTGTCTAGAGGGGCGTGAAGGATGTTTAGACACATGTCATGGGGTACAAGGCAGGTGTAAATGCGTGTCAATGGGTACAATGTCAAGGGGTACAAGACACATGTCAAGGGTACAAGAAAAGCGTGAAGTGGTACTAGATGGGTGTCAAAGATGTTTAGACACATCTCAAGAGGTACAAGAGGCATGTCAAGGCTATAAGCAAGGTGTAAACATGTCAAGGGGTACAAGAAGGGCATGAAGGGGTCAAATATGGGTGTCAAAGATGTTTAGATGCATGTCAAGGGGTACAAGGCAGGTGTAAATGCATGTGAATGGGTATGATGTCGAGGGGTACATGATGGCATGAAGGGGTACAAGACACATGGGCGTCAAAGATGTTTAGATGCATGTCAAGGTGTAAATGCATGTGAATGGGTATGATGTCGAGCATGACATGAAGAAGTAAAGATGGTGTAAAAACAAGGGGTAATGAGTGTAACAAGGGGTAATGAGTATAAGAAAAAGTGGGAAAAGGGGTACACGATGCATGTCAGGGGGTATAAGACAAGTTTAGGGACAATAAAACAACCATCTGAATTGCATCATTATTTATTCATCAAATCATCATCTTGTAAATAACAAAAAAAATTATATTATTTAAAAAAAAACAGGTGGGTAAGGCATTAGCTCACCAACCAGGAGGTCTTGGGATGGATGCCAGCCCTTGACAGCTGGAAATCAAATAAAGTGTAGGTTGTACCCCACTGTCTGGGCAAAATTTCTCTCATAGCGCAGGGCATGGCGAATGTCCAATCGATGTTCCACAGTAGGACGTTTAACCCCATTTCATTTCACTGATATTTTAGAAAGTTTCAACAACCACACCTTAGAAATAGTATAACATAATAAGGAATATATTAATTAAATAGTATGATAACATAAAAGGAAATATATTAATTTAAGTTTTTTTACAACAATTACCTCTTTCTTAAATAAAAGAAACAAATTTAGTTTCTTGTTTGCTAATACAATAGTCATCTTCTGAATGTCAAAATATTATGATAAATGGATAACTCAACCACCATAATTAATTTTTGTATACTGTATTTACATTTTAACTCCCGAAAAATTGTTGGCAAGGGGCTTTAATTGCAAACAATATGTCTAATATCAATTTGCACGGCCATCTCAGAAATCATTTGTTCACCAATGAATTGCAGCATTAGTTGACTTTTGAAATACTTCACATAATGTCACAAAAAGCCCAAATTACTAGGTAAATAAGGCTATTGGCCCAGCCTAAAATTCAGGTATATTTTAAATGTTACACAGGTGAAATTCTATGGAATACAATTACTGTTTACTACTGAGCGATACTTCTCAATATATATCAAGCAATGATAAAATATAAAATGCAACAAGCAAAGTCCATTTATGCAGTAAAGGTATTTCATATTATGAGATGAGACCGATTCCAATAGGGATTTCTTTTTCATTCCCTTTAATAAAGATGAGGTTAACCAAACGAGAGCTGTTCTTAACAAAAACAAAACATAAAATAAACATGATAAACATAAAAACAATTAAAATCACATTTAAATAAATAGTACTTGAGCTGTTATACTACTTTCATTTTACAAATCATTATTAATTATTCACAACTTCAATAGTTATTCTTAGCTTCAATAGTTATTCTTAGCTTCATTAATTATTCTTTATAGCTTTATGAATTATTCACATTGTCATTCTATTAAAACATATTATGTAACATATTCATCAATATGAAAGAAAGTTTTCAATATAGTTTTCAGACCGGACGAAAATTCAAATTAAAGTCCTGTGTACACATTGGTGTACATGTAAAAGAACCCTTGACAGTTGGAATTCAATATAAGAGTAGGCTGTAGTGCCGCTGTATGGGCAAAATTTCCCTTATTTCACACTGTATGGCGTATGCTGGTCTTCATTAGTCCAGTCGGTGCAGAAAAGTAGGAAGTTAAACCCCCATTAACCACTGCTAATAACAAGGACACATGGCTCACATGACCAGAGTTACAAATCAAACTGTCAACCTACTAGATGGCCACCAGGTCATCACAAACAACAATTTTTAATGATACAATTTAAATTTTCCAACATTTATGACAATGTCTCCATTGGTGTAAGGGCCCATCAAGTTCAGATGGATTCTGAAATTTTACCTTTAAATATTGCTTGTAACATCACAGAAATATCTTTGATTATTGCAATAGATGAGCTTATTTTGGACAAGAAGTGACTCATTTTGCTCTCCCTCCACCTTCAAAACATTCCTTTGGACGGTAACTTGCCCCCGTTCCCACCTTTGCCCTAAACATATGACATTTTCACTAGCCCTAGATGAACTATTAAGTAAAATAAAGCATGGGTTTAGGGCATCGTGCAACCAAATGATACACTATAAAGTTTGTATTTACCATGGTGTAAATAATGCCGCACGGCTCACAAAAAGGGGCCCTTTAATAAATACATACTGGTAACAAAAATAAAATCATATCTATATAATACACTAAGAAAATCTAGAAAAATTACATTTTGATGTCAGCACTTTTGTTTCATTGCAGAAATAAAAAAAATTCTTTGACAGGTTAGTATTGTTTTTAATTTAATTACATGTCAGAGCAACATGATTTATTTCAGTGCTAGGTCTGATTCTTACATAAAGTATATTGTGATTAACTGCTTGTCATTCCTTTACAGTGTATAGCCTAGAGGGCAGGGGGAGGCCTTAAACAATGTTTAACCTAAAGACTTGGGGTATGGGGTGGGGGTTTTAAATAATGTTTAACCTAGAAGACAGGAACAGTTTTAAACAATGTTTAACCTAGAAGATAGGAACAGCTTTAAACAATGTTTAACCTAGAAGACAGCAACAGCTTTCAACATTGTTTAACCTAGAGAGCAGGAATAGCTTTAACCAGTATTTCACCATTTCAGTTTTAACAACAATAATCTTAACATATTCTTACAACAATCTTCTAATACTATATATATTATATAAGTCAATATATACATTTAACTCCAGTATATATATTAAAATATATATGAAATAAAACCAGGATTCAAATAAACATTAATGCCAAAACATACAAACGTGTACTGGTATATAAAACTATATGTTCTATCAACATTATAATTCTATGTAAAGTTTAAAAAATCATAAAATCACATCCGGAACAATATTGTGTACAAAGGTTATCAAACACTGTTTTAAAATGCATCATGGGTAAAAATTCTAATCGTATAACATAAATAATAATAAAAGATCCCAATAACTATATGTAATAGAAAACATCATGGAGCATACTATATGTACTATCTGTAAAACAGCATGCAGCATACTATCTGTACAACAGCAAGCAGCATACTATCTGTAAAACAGCATGGAGCATACTATTTGTAACACAGTATGGAGCATATATTCTGTAAAACAGCGTGGAGCATACTATTTGTACTATCTGTAAAACAGCATGCAGCATACTATATGTAACACAGTATGGAGTACACTATTTGTACAAGAGCATCGCTAACGCAGCAATATACGTCCACATTCCTGTTTTGTTTGATATGGTCCAGTTTGCATTGAGGGTCTGTGAAATAAAACTGGGTTGTAGGACTGCTATCAGTTTAACGTTTCGTTCACATTAACAGAACACAATTTTTATTTTAAAACAATCGATGTCTTTATTCTAAAAGCATGACGTTTAGAATAGGTATCCCCATTTCAAAAGGATCGGTTAAGAATTGCGGCCTGTAGGCAAAACACAAGACACACAAACATTAGGCGTGACTCTGTCCCAAGGGGTTGAGCATGCACCAAAAATAATAATAGAGGCCAGCCTTAGGATTAAGGAATAAGTGTAAAAACGTAGCCTTAGGCTATAAGGAATAAGTCTAAAAAAAATTTCAAGATGATCGATTAAGAAATGCGGTCTGCAAGTGACACACAGACATAAAAAAAGAAAATGGGCGTAGCTCTGCCCCTGGGGGTTGGGTATTCACCACAACTAATAGGGATGTTCCTTAGGATAGAAGGAATATGTATGCTAAGTTTCAAGGTGATACGATAAGAAATGCGATCTGTAGATGACAAACAAATAAATAAATATAAGGGATGGGCGTGGCTCTACCCCTGGTGGTCGGGCATGCACCAAAAACAATAGGGATCATACTTAGGGTATAAGCAATTCATATGAAAAATTTTCAAGACGATTGATTAAGAATTGTGGCCTGTAGGTGACACACAGACATAAAAAGAAAAGAAAATGGGCGTGGCTCTGCCCCTGGGGGTAAAAAAACAATAGGGGTCATCGTTAGGGTATAAGCAATTCATATGAAAAAATTTCAAGACAATTGATTAAGAATTGTGGTCTGTAGGCGACACACACACATAGAAAAAGAAAATGGGCGTGGCTTTGCCCCTGGGGGGTGGGCATGCACCCAAAACGATAGGGATGTTCCTGAGGGTACAAAGAATAAGTATGCAAAGTTTCAAGATGATACGTTAAGAAATGCGGCCTGTAGACGACAAACAAACAAATACAAAAATGGGCGTGGCTCTGCCCCGGGGAGGCGAGCATGCACTAAAAACAATAGGGATCATCCTTAGGGTATAAGGAATAAATATGTAAAGTTGATACGTTAAGAAATGCGGTCTGTAGATGACAAACAAATAAATAAATATAAGGAATGGGCGTGGCTCTGCCCCTGGGGGTCGGGCATGCACCAAAAACAATAGGGATCTTCCTTGGGGTATAAGGAATAAGTATACCAAGTTTGAAGAAAATCCAGTAAGAATTGCGCCCTGTAGGCGACACAAAGACACACGAAAAGAAAATGGGAAATGGGCGTGGCTCTGCCCCTGGGGGTTGGGCATGTACCCCAAACGATAGGGATGTTCCTTAGGGTACAAAGAATGTGTATGCAAGATTATAAGTTAAGAAATGTGGCCTGTAGACGACAAACAAACAAATACTAGAAATGGGCGTGGCTCTGCCCCTGGGGGTCGGGCATGCACCAAAAACAATAGGGATCTTCCTTGGGGTATAAGGAATAAGTATACCAAGTTTGAAGAAAATCCAGTAAGAATTGCGCCCTGTAGGCGACACAAAGACACACGAAAAGAAAATGGGCGTGGCTCTGCCCCTGGGGGTTGGGCATGCACCCCAAACGATAGGGATGTTCCTTAGGGTACAAAGAATGTGTATGCAAAGTTTCAAGATTATTAGTTAAGAAATGTGGCCTGTAGACGACAAACAAACAAATACTAGAAATGGGCGTGGCTCTGCCCCGGGGGGTCGGGCATGCACCAAAAACAATAGGGATCTTCCTTGGGGTATAAGGAATAAGTATACCCAGTTTGAAGAAAATCCATGAAGAATTGCGCCCTGTAGGCGAACCACAGACACACACACACACACACACACACACACACACACACACATACATACATACACACACACACACACACAGACAGGGGCGACGGCATAATACGTTCACATTATGAATGTGGACGTATAAAAATAGCATGGAGCATATATTCTGTAAAACAGCATGGAGCATACTATTTGTACTATCTGTAAAACAGCATGCAGCATACTATATGTAACACAGTATGGAGCATATATTCTGTAAAACAGTATGGAGCATACTATTTGTACTATCTGTAAAACAGCATGAAGCATGCATATTATCTGTAAAACAGCATGGGGCATATCTGTAAATCAACAAAGTGCATACTGCCTGTATCTGGAAAACCGCATGGAGCATACTATCTGGAAAATACTATCTAAATACAAAGCAAAATGGTTTATAAAAATCAAAAAACATCAATGGACAAAATATTTAATAATTTATAATGTGTTCGGGAATATGAATCATTGAGTGTACATTCTACATTAGAGGAAATGTACATGAAATTATACCAAAAGTATGTTGACTTGTTATGTGAAGTCCTGGAAAGATTTTTTCATCTTAAAATTAAAACCCAATATTCAATCCTTCATTTTATTGGCTGCATAATTCTTGACAAATTCACAAAAAAAACTTTTCAAATTCAAAAGTTTAGTAAACACTTTTACTATAACTGGGCATATTATTGGTGTAACTGGGCACCATTTTCAAGTTTCCTCCATTATCTCTGCATATGTTACTATGTTGCCGTAGAGACACGCTATGTGCAAACTGTTTACCACAAACTTCACAGGTAAAAGGTTTATGTCTTGTATGTGTCCTCATATGAACCACGATATTATAGGCCTGTCGTGATTGCTTGCCGCAAATTTCACAGGAGTATGGCATGACATCTGTGTGTATCTTTTCATGCTGCTTAAGATGCCACTTCCGAGAGAATCTTTTGGGACAATGATCACAAGCGAAGGGTTTGACGTCCGAGTGAATTTTGAGATGATTAATCAGTGAATCGTTCCGCCCGAATTGTTTGCCACATTCGTCACACTGGAATTTCTTCTCTCCTGAATGAATGACGGAATGTAGCTTTAGAACTTTCTCTGTACGACAAACGTAATCACAGAGATCGCAGGAGAAGGGTTTATAGTCATTGTGTATCATAAGGTGTGTCTTTAAACTATGTGATATCGAGAAACCCTTACCACAGACTTCACACACGTAGGGTTTTTCCCCCGTGTGTTTCCTCATGTGACGTTTAATATCACTCGGGTGATAACACACTACGTCGCACAATTCACATTTTTTACCAATCTTCTGCGTCTTTTTACACGTGACTCGACCTTCCTCCGAATGTAATTTCTCGTGTTTGACGAATAACTTTTTGGATTTGTAATTCTTGTTACAAATGGAACAAGTAAAGGGTTTAATAAATGTTTTCTTCTGACGTTTTTTGACCGATGTTATTTTTCCCTTTAATCGCTTTTTCGGTGATTTTTTCTTCGTTTTCGTTTCGGGTTCAGAATCTGGTTCGGAATCCGGTTCACTTTCAGGCTCCTCTTCTGGATCTTTATCAAACGTCTCTTCCAATTTTTCTTCGTCTCTAGATTCAAACGAGGAATCGAAATCAGCGACATCTTCCTCCTCGAGATTTGCATCGTCATCATCATCATCATCGTTTGTAGCCTGATCCACTATTGGTTCTATTTTGACTGGATGAGATTTTCGCCGCGTCTTGGGCTTTTTAGTAGACAGTGTAATTTTTAACGTTTCTGTTGATTTTTGTTGATTATCAGATGAAGGAATATCATGAGACGACGTCGATGTACCTTTATCAACGTACTTGGGTTTCTCAGAGACATCCTTCTGGTTCCAGGTTAAATCTAGTTGTTTAAATGACGAACACAGATTTATAATCGTGTGACTACTGTTCAAAGTCTCGGATATAATCTGGTTACAGAAAGACACGATTTGATTACAATAATATTCACAACCCACCATTTTAGCACAAATTTCAACGATTTCTTGAACTGATTTTGTTTGACCTACGACATGATTTTCACACAATTCTACAATATTCTTCAAGCCAATTTCCGAAACTCTCACCGTTTTTTTATCTGAAAGTATCGATGAAGATAACGGATTTCCTGACAGTTTATGAGCTTTTGAGATATTTGATTGGGTCTGCAAATTTGTGTAATTAGCATTAGCTGCCTGATGTTTCGTGATACTAGTAGTGGCGAAAGTCATATCAGTCGAGGTTCGATCAAGTTGATCTGTAAAACTTGTATCAGTTCTGTGTCTGTTTACCAGGTCTCTGATAGTCGAGTCACTCAAAGCTCGGTCTATTTGGTCCTTTATGCTTGGATCTGCGAAACTTCCATCCCCAATTTGTCTTTTATTCAAATCTAGGGAACTAATATCGACTTTCTGTCTAGTTAAAAGATCGCGAACTCTCGACTCAGCATAACTTCCATCTCTCATCTGCCTGTTGTTTTGGTCCTGGACATTTGATTGGGTGAAGTTTGTTTCATGCAACGGCATGACGGTGTTCATTGGGTTACCATAATTTCTAACATCAGTATTTCTTAGCGGCAATGTTGGGCTGTTCATATGATTTCTAGCGTTCATTACAGCCACACTGTCTGGATGCCTTAATGTTAATGGGTTATTCATTGACTCTCTCATGCTATGCCTGCCAAAATCTGTATCCAAATGTCTTTGAGGCAGTGGACTGTTCAATTGGTCTCTCGGAGTAAAAGCTACATTGTCCGGTGGAGGCAACGTCATGGGACTGTTCAATGGGTCCCTCATACTTTGTCCATGAAAACTTCTATCTGCATGTAGTGGAGATAGGGGACTGTTCATTGCACTTCTCAAGGAGTTCTCAGTAAAATTAGAATTATCTGCTTGGCTTAAAGTGATGGAGCTGTTTAAAGGATTGGCCATACTGTGACTGGTATAGCTAATACCACCTGCATGGCTTAAAGCTGCCTGATTATTGATTAGGTTACTGCCGTCGTTTGTACATGTATTGTTGCCATGTCGCAACGACAGCAAAATATTGACTGGGTCTGCCAAACTGGTGTTTTCCATATTGTCTAACGGTTCCATGTTTTTTCTCCATTCACCTAAAAAATTTAAAAATTAGAACGTTAATGTACATGTAGCTAAGACTTTAACATAATATCATCCACAGTTTTCGACATTGCAAACATGACTTATTAGTCAATTTAGATCCGCATTGATGTTGTTACCTTATCGTGGAAAGATGGGCTTCTGAAACTCAATATTTAAGACACTTTGAACATTTTACAATTGGCACGCGAATCGTGCGCCAGAATGCTTTTGAGTGCCATTTGTAATGATGCGACTCGATGAATGAGGCTGAAATAGCCAGATGTCAAAGAATGCTACTCAATTCGGACACTTCGCGTATTTTGCCGAAAAGTATAACTGATTAGGAATTACAGTAATAACAGAAACAATTGAATGTAAATCAGTTTATATACATTCGCATTACATTATTATATGCGTTGCAACCAATTTGTATCCATTTCTAGGTGCCAAAGATTAAAGAATTAGCTCCTTTAAATAATCTAAGAAGCTTATCAGGTATGAAAAAAGATCATGGTTTATCTAAATCTATTAATGTGAATTAAAATACCAATGTGTGACGCCATCCCTTGATGTCGACGTACCATTATTTTAAATAATGGTAGTGGCAATGTGCCAATTGTACATTATTTATCTAGATGAATTATCTGGCTCGTGTGATGATTTCATTGAAATGAAAATGCAGAACTTTGATTGTATTTTAAGTTGTTTAATGGTCATGGGCACACAGGGCCGTAACTAGCTCAGAGCAACGAGTTGGGGGGGGGGGGGACAGGAAGTGTTCTCAGGGCATGCTGTATATCTATTGTTTTTGTGGTCGACAATTTTTTCACCGGAGGGGGTGAATTTTTTGCAGGGGCATTGAAACAACATTGAAACATGGGGGTTGGTGGGGGGGGGCCCCTTATGACAAGGTATAGTATGAGATTCTATATGACAATAGATCCAAAATATTTCACCAGAACTTACTGTGAGAAACTATAGCAGAAATATTTTGTTAAAAACTATTGCCTCTATCACATCTCTATCACATTAACTAGGTTTACAAGGTTGCCATATTAGGATAGTGTTAAGAGCATGTACTGATCAGAAATTATTCTCATTATTGCTATATCTACTGATACAGATACAGCTATTATGACATTACACATAATAACATTGTCATAAATTGGAGCCATATGGTGTCAATGCAATTTGAAAGTATGATTAGGGTCCATGTCATAATTGAGATATTGCTGCAACCCTATTTCCATATAAAAAAAATGTTTTAAAGAAATCTTAGTACCGTTATGGGAAGTTATTAGGATTCAAACTTTGCTAAGTAATAAGCTCGTTATGTATGATCTTTGGTTTCACTTTTTCAGAACTTGATTTTAGAAGTGAAATTGGCAATGGCAATATCCAATCAAATTACCTGTAGCCTGTAGGCTATTACCAGTATTTTGGGCTGGGTCAGTTGTGGAAAGATAATTAAATCACAAGCAGCAATTTCCTTAGTTTAATTCCGGGTAAAATTAAGTCTATCAACAAATTAACATTTTAGCTTTTCGAAGGACTGTCACTTTGAAAAAGATAGTAATGTCATGACAATCGCGTCTAGCATTATAATTATTGATAAGATAACATGGTGGGGATTGGTGGCGACAACTAAAAAGATTTTACATCGAAATAAACTTCCTACGGTTTTAAATGAAAGCAGATTGGTTCAACCGCTAAAAGTGATTATGTTTCCAAATGAAAGAGCGTATACAGATAAATAAATAAATAGTTATACCAAATAAATAACGCACAAATACCGACGTTGTTATCTCTACAGGATCTTATATCGAAGGGGCGTAACTCTAATTTGTGTAGAGGTGGGTATCTGGGTTCAGACCACATAAAAAAATATAATTGTGTCAGTTTTGAAATTTGGAATGTTCAGGTGTGTTTTTGATATATATGGTTAGATCATGGAAATAGAATACTCAATAAGGGGAATGGCCCTTCAAGTTTTAAGTTATTTAAATGTATAGGTAGACAGGAGGTTAAATGTAGTCTACTTTTATTTTTCATTCTATTTGTGTTTCCTATACATGCGATCCCGTGTTGACAAAATCCCATTAACACTAAGATTTTGAATTCACTTGAGCGATAAGAAATAAAGAAACAGTAATTGATAGGTTTAAATTTACTTTTTCTTAAGTTATTACCTTCATATATGAGTTCTGTTTCGCTAATCGATCGACTGGTTAATCTCATCTACAGAGGAAGTTGATAATATCGAATTGAGCTGCCCTTTGTCGGGACTCGTCGGGTAGATAATATATATATATATAATAAATATTATACAGTTTAATTTAAAATACAACAATATAGAATGTGTAAATTTTTAACGCAAATAAATATAAAACAGATATTAATATTGAAACATGTCTTAAAAGGCAACGTCTTCTTGTTTGGATGTTGGATGACATATCACCCACGGCTCATACAACAGTAACACGAACATTACCTAACAAACAATCGTGGATGAAAATAATCTAAAAAAAATCAAGAGAACAGAATCTTTTTAGATTTACAATGATTTTCGATTCTAGAATTTTTTTCTAACCAGAACTCAGCTAGCTATATATTCAATAATGAATTGCTCTGTGGTGGGCAGATTCTGAATTTTAATCATAATAATAGCTGTCAATACTAGGAGCAAGTGTACGGTCAAAGTCTGATTCCAAACCCAAAACCCTGCCAATTAACAAACTGATGATTTGACCTACAACTTGCACCTTTGGTATGAGCATTGCACCTGCTACCTATCTTTCTGTATATCTGCCAGTAATCTCAGAACTTCGTATGGGTATTTAGCAACCACTAGACCTAATATATTAAGTATTATAATGTTTTTTCAGATGAAGATTGATACATGTTAACGTGATCCAAGAAAGTATGGATTTGGAAGAGCGGTTGCCAGTCAATTATCATCAGCAATCATATTCAAATAATTCATCATCGGAGAATCAGCAGTTCATTAGAGTAGCTGAGATTGGGTTGAAAAATATTGTTGACATTTGTGAAAATCATGTTGTAGGGCAAACAAAATCAGTTCAAGAAATTGTCACCCTTTGTTCAAAAATAACAGGTTATGAATTTTACTGTAATCAGATTGTGACGTTTTGTAATCAAATTTTTTCAGAGACTCTCAACAGCAGTCACACCATTATAAACCTGTGTAAATCATTCAAAAAATTAGATTTGAAGTCAGTGGTTGATGATTCAAGTAAACAAGGGAAAGATAACTCAGACCTAAATAAAACAACACCGCCTTCTACTGCCAAAACTGATGATACTGTTACCATTAAAAATGAGTTGCCTTTACCATCAAATGAAAGAGTGGATCAAAGCAAAAACTCTGAAAGTCGTGCAAAAAGTGAAAATAAAAACAAAGATGACAAAAAGGTAAAAAAAAAATCAAGAAAGTCACGTCCAGTTAAAAGATCAAATCACAAGGCCAAGGAAACTGAAGATCTGGGCTTTACTGATGAAGATGAATCAGACAACGAGGAATCAGAGACTTTGCTCAATGATGATACATTCGATGATTATGATATTGAAGAAGAAGAAGAAGAAGAAGAAGTTAGTGAGATTGAAGATGACTTGGGAGATTCTAGTGACCCTGAATGGAAAGTTGCAAAACCTTTGAAGCAGAAAACAAAAAAATCATCAAAAAAGCAAACAGAGACGCCTGATTCTAGTCCCGTAAAATCATCAACTTCGTCAGATTTAACGTGTGAATTCTGTGGGAAAATCTGTAAAACTAAAACAATTCTTCGTGAACATCGTAGAATTCATACGGGGGAGCGGCCTTACGTTTGTGAAGTTTGCGGAAATACATTCAGTCAGAATTATCACCTGAAAGCTCATCAGCTGACTCACATGACGACGAGGGATGTAGCTTGTGAACTCTGCGATTACACATGTCAGAGTAAAGATCGCTTGACACGTCACATGGTCGTTCATTCAAATGAGAAGAAATATCAGTGTGCAGAGTGCGGAAAACGATATCCTCGCAGGGGCTCCTTGCGTATTCATATGAACACACACTTGGGTATCAAACCGTGGGCATGTGATCAATGTGATAAACGATTCGTTAGAAAATGTCACATGATCAAACATAAATTAGTTCACACGGATGAAATGAAATATTCATGTGAGATTTGTGGGAAACGATCTCATCAGTCGTATAACATCGTCGTGCACATGCGAACTCACACAGGCCAAAAACCCTACTCCTGTGAAACATGTGGTAAAACGTTTGCTCATAGCGTATCACTACGCACACATAAAGACACATGTACTGGTAAAGTTGTTACAGAGTACTTACCCAGTAGTGGAACTTTAAGCAATCCTGGACAATTAAGTCTACCAAATTCCGGGCACATGTCTAATATTGGGCATTATTAACTATTTGTTTGTTAAGGGTATAAATGTTATCATTATTGTACTTTTATTTATATACACAAGATTTATTAGTTCAATCATCATTGTTTCAAGCTTCTACTCTTTTAATATGCGGGGGTTCGACGGCCGAATGGTTAATGTGTGCACGTTGTATCATAAAGTCTGTCATTGAGTCAACTGGTGTGGTTTTGATTCCCCGATTGTATGTGACAAGGAAAAGGGTCACCTGTCCAACCTCATGGGTTTTCTCTGGGTCCTCTGGTTTCCTCCCACTGATATAGACTCCAAACTATTGAAATAAAATAGAACCATATTTTAGTCCCAAAATGACCTAGTTTGTGTCGAGTGTAAACATTTAAACTATAAATTTTGATAACAATCCGTAGGTCCGACATCCACAATTGCTTGTGGATGGTCTAGAGGTTAAATTATTATCCGATCGACTTCAAATTTAGACATAATGTTTACGGTTATGAGACAAAGAAGTATATTTCCAATAATGACTGCCAGAGTTATGGCCCTTGATTATTTTGAAAAATTTTGTTGACCTGTTAGAAGTTAAAGTTTACATCGGACATGAAATTGATACACAGTGTTTAAGGTCATAAGACGAAATGAAATAGGGGTTAACATCCTACTGTTCTGCTCCGACTGGATTAATGAAGACGGGCATATGGCATTTGGGAAATTTTGCCTAGACAGCGGCGAAGCGGCTTACTCCTATATCAAATTTTGACTGCTAAGGGATCTTTTAGGTGCACGCCCACGTGTACACAGGACCTCAGTTTTTTATCCCATCCTAACGACTAGACAGCTGTCTTTGTCAGGCCCTCCGTCCTGCACCACTGATAAGGAGAAACCAAGCTGGAAAATTCTGATGAACTTTCTCGGCTAACACATCTATTGATTTTCAAAGATTTCAAATAATTGCTGTCAGGGTTATTGCCCTTGATAACTTTAAACAATCTTATTCTCTTTAAAAAAAATCTTGTGAACCTTCTCAGGGTTCAACTTGTTTTCTGATTGATTTGAATCGAAATTAATGCAGTGTTTCATGTGCCAAAACCTACATATATGAATTTTCAAAGATTTCAGAGAACTCAAACTTTTAGTATTGTTACCGTTAAATGTTTTGGATAATGAATGTTAGGATCTTGAAGAACTAGAAGCCAATCAAATTTTTCAACTATTTCTTCTAATTACTTAATGAATTGTTATTCTTGTTCAGTTTTTAGTGATGTTTACCTGCTCCACTTTGTTACAAAACAATAAATGTATGTGACAACCCATGTGGATTGCTCAGATGCCTTAGTTGCTGTGAGCATGTTTTGTCGCCTGGCAATCTATCTTTATTATACTCTAGGAATTCTTTATAAAACAAGTACGATCGTACTATGGACCAGGAACTGACCACTGACCATGTTGTTGGATGAAATTTAAAAATCTTATTCACCAAATTGATGCAGAATTGTTCAAAGAAAAAACATGGCAATTTTCATGGCGATTGGAGTTGAATTGACAGAGCCTTAGGCTTTTTCGAAGAGCGTCACCTCAAGAACAACAACAAGATGAGTAGCAACCAGTCCCTCATCCATAAATAATCAGACAAAACGTTTTATATTGCAGTATAAAATACTGAATTTTGATAGATGGTATTTTATTTTAAAATCAGGTCTTTAAAAAGTTTGATATATTTATTGTTGATATTGTTTATTTATCATGCACAATAAAATTATTCATGTAATTTATGACATGTAAAAGTAACAATTTTACATCTTATCAACATGGAGTTGGTGTAGAATACATTGTGCTGTGGGTAAATGAAATTCAATGGTTAGGCAGGTTTGTTCATTCACTCAGCTTAATTCCACTTCAACCTAGAGTCCTACCTCAGACAATGCTTCCTAGGAAACTTGTCTGAGAAGCCAGTTGTGATTGAAGCGGGAACGGATAAGTGAAGAATGAAAATCGCCCCCCCCTCCCCCAACCCTTTTTGGGATAGGAATTTGATCATTCTTTATTTAAAGGCAGGAAAGCATTTTAATCCAATCAATCGCGAGCTAACATCCCTAGTTGGGTTTCACACCAATCAATCAACAGGTTATATCCCTCATTGGGTTTTAAACCAATCAATCAACAGGTCTAAATATACTTGGACCCACCCAAAATTTACATAGTAGGCCCTAACTCCTATTTATTTACAACAATTATTAGGATTAGTTAAGATTCTACATGTATCTGTATAAAACCTGTACATATCCCAATATGTTGGTGTAATGTTTTAGTTTAACCCCGTAAAATATGTCAAAACAGTGTTTACAGAAGACTTAAACTTTAAAAAATTTTGATAGGGGTGCGCACCCCCCCCCCCCCCCCCAGTGGGAGGGTGACCCTCCCACACTCTCCCTATCGCGCTACATCGGCTGCTGTGCAGCCTTGTGCCTCCGGCTTCACAGATTGTCAACATTTTATATAATTTCATTTGCGGACCCCCCCAATATATATTTCACGACTACGCCTCTGCTTGTTGGGTTTTACACCAATCAATCAACATGTTAAATCTCTCTAGGGGTTTTACACCAATCAATCAAGAGGTTATATCCCTTGTTGGGTTTAACACCATTCACACCAATCAATCAACAGGTTATATCCCTTGTGGGGGTCACGGTGGCTAAGTGGGTAAGACGCTGGCTCGCTAGCATGGAGGTCAGGTGTTTGATCCAGGAAAGTTCATCCAGATTTTCCGGCCTGGTTCCCCCTTGTCAGTGTCTAGTCATTCGGATGGTACGGAAAACCGAGGTCCCGTGTACACATTGGCATGCACGTAAAAGATCCCTTGACAGTTGGAATTAGATATAAGAGTAGACCATAGTGCTGCTGTCTGGGCAAAATTACCCTCATAGCACACTGTATGGCGTATGCCCATCTTCATTAGCCCAGTTCGGAGCAAAGCAGTAGGACGTTAAACCCCATTTCATTTATTTCCCTGGTTTGGTTTTACACCAATCAATCAACACCTTATATCTCTGGTTGGGTTTCACACCAATCAATCAACAGCTAGGTTATATCCCCTGTTGGATTTCACACCAATCAATCAACATGTTATATCCCTTGTTGGATTTCACACCAATCAATCACCAGGTTATATCCCTTTTGGATTTCAAACCAATCAATCAACAGGTTATATCCCTGGTTTGATTTTACACCAATCAATCCACATGATATAGTATCTTGGTGGTTTATATCAAATACAAGAACTGATAAATCTCGCATGGATATAACAAAAAATATTCCCAGTCACATCTTTTAATATATGAATTGTGGATGTGTTCCTTAAAATACAGAAGTTACTTCCCTTTAATTGGATCATGCGAGCTGGATAATTACGTCTACATAGACCGGAAGTTGATTGAAGAATTTATAAAATAATTTATTGAGATTGAGACCATATAATTGACAGTTCTGTCTGCAAGCTAGTTTAATATCTTCACATGACGAGGCTGGGTTTAGGTAATTTTATAGACCTAGACCAATTATCTTTTATTGCTTGTATCTTGCTAGCTAATTCAGCAAAGTCAAAGTGAGTGGCTCCGAAAAAAGAACAGACAATAATGATATAAAAAAATTGACAGTTCAGCAAACTCAATTTTATTTCTAAGTTTATTTTAGTAAGGGTTCACGAACCCCTTAAAGTGACATGTGAATTTATTAAGCATTTGGTTGTTGGCAGGGTCAGATATAGAGCTTGAAGGACTAATGGCATTTCCACATCATTTAATTATTGACATTATATATGATTAAATGACAAATAAAAAATTAAGTGAATGATAAACCACAACTATTAACTATTGAACAGAAGTATATATAAGAATACGTTTATCACTATTTTGCTCAATTTGAGGCAATAAAAATAACTTTTAGCTACCCTGGGTGCTGGTTATTGCCACTGCAGTCAAGATACGATACATGTAGTACATGTACAGGTACGTATAGCGTTTCACGTGCAATAATATGATCTGTATCACTGTTCGTAACCAGGTCAATATTTACCAAGAAAACAACAGGATAAATGAATAATTGATATTTTAGTCATGATATTATGTGGATCATAATAAGGACCAAAACAATGGATAATGTGTGACGTGAATAACTAAGAGTGACAGCTTACTTTCTGAAGCAACAAAAAAAAAAAACATAAAAAAAAAATGGTGATACATCGAACAGGACCTCGCAATTGAATACGCGAATGGTGAGAAGGTGAATCGTGATACATTTTTTCAACGATATATCATTCATCGTGCCAGCACTAGCTGCAAATATTTAACTCAATATCATACACAGTCTTCGACATTGCAAACACGACTTATTGGTCAATATAAATCAACATTGATGTTGTTATCTTACCGTGAAAAGATGGCCGGTCTTCTGATATCCAATATTTAAGACATAACGAAAATTTTAAAATTGGCACCCGAATCACGTGCCAGAATACTTTCGAGTGTCATTTATAATGAAACGACTCGATGAACGCGGCCAAACATATCTCACAGGAGAATACTACTGGTGTAGACAGGAATAACCAGACGCCAAGGACTGCCATTCAATTTGGACTCTTTGCGTTTTTATACATTCATATTACATTATTATGTTGCGACCCATTTGTGTCCATTTCTAGGTGCCAAGGGATTTAGCTTCTTTAAATTCAGACAGAGTATTATGGAAGTCTTCTAATATCTCTGTAAAAGATGACTACCTTCTACACATGAAGTCTCATCACACGGCGTCAATCATTGTTTAGTAAGACGTTCTAGTTCGGGCAGAATGGTGCCTTTTACTCATTTTGATACCCATTTACACCAAATAGGAAATAATTTTTACCTAGAAATACATGTACTTAAAACGTCTTTATTTTTCTAATACATCAAAAAAAATGTTTTAGAATTTAATTTGTTGGAGGAAAAAGTTAATATTTGTGGCTTATTAAGTCGCATCGATGTCATCCTTATCAGTGATTGTAGCGGCCTAGCGAATATTCACTGCTGATCAGTGTGATGTCACATAGCATACACACAATTTGTATAAAAGAAATTAATGACAAAATTAAAATTGATTTTATAATTAGTGCATTCTTATTTCAGGACTTGAGTAATTGTTAGTGATTAATGGAGGAAATGATGATCTTGTAATTGTTATAAACAGATGTGGCCTAGCTCAGCTTCCTGTGTAAACATTGGCATGCCCGTAAAAGAACTCTTGACAGTTGGAATTAAGAGTAGGCCTTAGCAAAAGTTCCCTTATAGCACACTGCATGGTGTATGCCTGTCCTCATTAGCACAGTCGGTATAGAAAAGTAGGACTGTCAACCCCATTTCATTTCCTAGCTTAGCTGACCGTATATTTTAATTAATTTCAAGTGCAGGACAAAATGGATGAATTTGAAGGTTTATCAGTTAAATTTAATCTGGATCGTAAAAATACCCAGACTTCTTCAAATTCAAATTTGTCTGAAAATCAAACACAAAAGACAACTCAAGTGTCAGAAATTTGTTTTAAAAATATAATGGATATTTGTGAAAATCATATTTTAGGACAAACCAAATCTGTTCAAGAAATTGTCTCCCTTTGTTCCAAAATAACAGGTTATGAATTTTACTGTAATCAGATCGTGGCCTTTTGTAATCAGATTTTTGCGGAGACTTTAAACAGTAGCCACACAATAATAAAACTTTGTAAGTCATTCACAGATATTGACCTGGCAAAGGAGGCATCAGTGAATATAAGTGACACACAATCGTTAACCCTAAAACATCCCGCAGAAACTAACATTAGGGTTAAAACCGTTCAACCGTCCACTTCAACTGATAGTTGTGTTCCAAAGAAATGTTCTGATATTTCGTCAGTTTCTGCCATAAATGAATTAAAAGATGAAATATCCCCTGGGACGAAAAATCTGAAAAAGAAACCAAGAAAATCTTTCCCTGTAAAACTTTCAAATGCAAAGATCAAGAAAGTTCCTGATCTTGAATCATCTCATCACGATACTGAAGATTTCCTGGAGGTGGATGATAAAATTGACTCGGACGATGAAGATGAAGATGATGATCACGATCAAGGCGAATCACAAGAATCGGACGATCCTGAATTTAAACCCAAAGAAAAGATAACTCGGCGTACAATTCACAAGTGTAGCATTTGTGAAAAGACATATAAAACGAAGAAAATGTTCATAAAACACATGGAGGGTCATGGTGTGAGCGTTGAAGATTTAAAATTTGAGAAAAAGGATCGGGTGAACAGACTGAGTAGTAAAATACCAGTTACGGCAGAAGAGTTGACGTGTGAATATTGCGGTCGTTTAACCGTGACTAAGAAAGCTCTCACGGAACATATACGAACCCATACAGGCGAAAAGCCCTATATCTGTGAACTGTGTGGAAAAGGTTTCGCTCAGAGTGGAAGTCTTAAATCTCATCAGTTGATTCATATAGGCACAAAATCGGTGGCGTGCGAACTTTGTGACTATACTTGTCTGAGTAAACGACGATTAAAACTTCACATGGTCTGTCATTCTAGCGAGAAGAAATACCAATGCGCAGAATGCGGAAATAGGTACGCTCGCAGCACCTCATTAAATATTCATATGAATTCTCATACTGGGGCAAAACCTCACGCCTGTGATCAGTGTGATAAACGCTTTGCGAGGAGAAGTCACATGGTTCAGCACAGGAAAATTCACACGGAAGAAATGCCATATTCTTGTGAAATCTGTGGTAAACGATCGCATCAACCATATAATATTGTGGTTCATATGCGAACCCATACAGGGCATAAACCTTTCTCTTGTGAAAAATGTGGCAAACAATTCGCTCATAATGTATCACTACGGCAACATAAAATCAACTGTACAGAGAGAATCGACACAGAGGCTGTAACAAACTTTTTAAGCATGACGTAATAGACCTTATTTTATTTACATACATATAGATGTATGGAATAACATTATTAACGTTCAATGTTTTGACGACGGTGTTCTGGTCTTCATGAATCAATTGATACATAATATTGGTTAAAACCCTCAGTGCTTGTTTTTTTTTCCATTCATTTATGGCTTTTTTATTACAGTATATTTACTTAGGATTCAACCTACATTTTAAATACATGTCCAGTACCGACCTACACCAGGCCCTCTACATGGTGGGGGGATCACGTGGCTAAGTGGGTAAGACGCTGGCTCGCTAGCCTGGAGGTCGGGTGTTCGATCCCTGCATTTGCCGAGAAAGTTCATCCAGATTTTCCGGCGTGGTTTCCCCTTGTCAGTGATGCAGGACGGAGGGCCTGACAAGGACAGCTGTCTAGTCATTCGGATGGGACGAAAAACCATTGGTGTGCCCGTAAAAGATCCCTTGGCAGTTGGAATTCGATATAAGAGTAGGCCGTAGTGCCGCTGCCCGGGCAAATTTTCCCTCATAGCATATTGTATGGCATATGCCCATCTTCATTAGCCCAGTTTAGGAGTAGGACGTTAAACCCCATTTTATTTCATTTCTACATGGTGGGTTGAGTACAAGATTACAAGTTCCATTAAATGATCGAGAGAATTGAATATTTCTATATTTAACTTTTGCTACTCACCCAGAAGATACCTCAGCATGCACCAAATCTTAATTCAGCCTCCCCATCTCCATTGACTTGTCCCCCTCCTCCCCTTAAGATTAATCTAGCCTCGTATATGTACTATGTAATAATGTACATGTGTACCGACTTAGATGCATGTACATAAATGTTTTCTCAGGCGTGGTTTTGATTCCCCGGTCGTACGTAACAAGGAGTAGTGTCGCCTGTACAACATTGTGGGTTTTCTCCGAGTCCTCCGGTTTCCTCCCACTGAAATAAAATTGAAATATATGTTAGTCCCAAGTGGACATTGAACCCATCTCTCTCTCTCTCTCTCTCTCTCTCTCTCTCTCTCCCATTCCCACTAAAGTGTTTATAGGGTAGTTATTTCCAATAAAGTATGGCATATTTGGTATGGAAAGTTGAGACACTATATGTCACAACAAAAATACTGGATTTCCTGGAAAACACTCATGGGGCACTCACAAGACCAAAATATAAGGGTGTCACTAACTGGCAGCCTGTCTTCTTGAGTGACATAAAGAGCGCTTCTTATTTGTTGATCTGGGATGAAAATATGAGGTCTCATGTACATGTACAAATTGGCGTGCATATGTAAAAGAATCTTTGGCAGGTAGAATTCGATATAAGAGTAGGCCGTAGTGCCGCTGTCCGGGCAAAATTTCCCTCAGTGCACACTGTATGGTGTAGGTCCGTCTTCATTAACCCAGTCGAAGCAGAATAGTAGGACATTAAACCTCATTTCAATTAAATTTTGTGCAATTTCACAATAGCAGACCTGGATCAAGTTCTATCGTGAGCATTTTTTGTTTTAGGCTAAGTTTGATAGCTTGATGCTTATTAAAAGATAAATGTGCAATTAATATGTGTCATCTATTTATTTAGGCATGTTGTTTTTCATTAACTTTATTTGCATTTAATAATAATGAAACATGATCATTTTTTTTGCAATAATTTGCTTGTTTCACAATAAGACGAATGTTTAAATGTTGTTATGTAGTGTAAAATGCCAGTAGTTTTTTCTAGGGTCAAGATTTTGTTGTTTTGTTAATAATATTATTACAGGTCACAGGTCAAGATCTTGTTGCTTTGTTAATAATATTATTACAGGTCCAAAAAAAAATTATTTTGTTAATACAATTATTACAGGCCAAGATCTTGTTGTTTTGTTAATAATATTATTACTTGTCAAAAAATATTATTAGAGGTCAAGATCTTGTTGCTTTATTAAAAATATTATTAGAGGTCAAGATCTTGTTGCTTTATTAATAATATTATTACAGGTCAAAAAAAGATAAAGATCTTGTTGTTTTGTTAATAATATTATTACAAGTCAAGATCTTGTTGTTTTGTTAATAATATTATTACAAGTCAAGATCTTGGTGTTTTGTTAATAAAATTATTACTGGTCAAGATTTTGTTGTAATATTATTAGGGGTCAAGATTTTGTTGTTTAGTTAATGATATTATTACAGGTCAAGATCTTGTCGCTTTGTTAATAATATCATTACATATAGGTGTAAATGATTTGATGCTTATTTATCGATTATACTTGATTTATTCAATATTAAAGATACACTACTTAAAAAGTTGGCCATTCTTGCTATAATAATTAAAATATTGATGTTTTAAAGGAAAAATATTGAAAATTTCAGTCAAATTACTTTATTCTGAACGGTGAATGTTAGATTACTCGGACATTTATTGATTTAATTTTAAATGGGCGACTGTTTAAATCCAAGCTGTATCCAAGCCATCCAAGGGTCTACAGAGTTGATTTTGAGCTTGTCATATAAATTAATGTCTAATTAATAATTTAGATAACATTTCAGGCCTAAAGAAAGACCTGCAATAGGCAGATTTAGCTCTTGCATAATGTATGTTTAATATATACAGGATATTACTATTAATTATTAGTCACATATAATGAAAACATTTAAATATTTGTTGTTGTTTTTTTGTGTTTTATATCCTGCTGGTGCTGCAGTGGTTAAGTGCTGGCTCACTAACCAGCAGATATGGGATTTGATCACGCTGGTGGTCGAGAAAGTTTCCTGGAGTTTTCCAGCATGGTTTCTCCTTGTCAGTGGGTGTAAGATGGAGGGCCTAGCAAGCACAGTGTCTAGTCATTCTGATTGTCTTAAAAAGGAGGTCCCATTACACGATGGCGTGTACGTAAAGAACCCATAACAGTCAGAATACTCCATAAGAGTAGCGTGGATGGCCGAATGGTTAGCGTGTGCGCATTAGGTCTATCGCTGAGTCAACTGGCGTGGTTTCGATTCCCAGGTTGTACGTGACAAGGAGTAGGGTCGCCTGTCCAACCTCGTGGGTTTTCTCTGGTTTCCTCCCACTGCTAAAGACCCCTACGCGCAAGCAAATTATTGAAATAAAATTGAACCATGTTAGTCCCGAAATGACCTAGTTAGTGTTGAGTGGACGTTAAACCCCATTTTTCTCTCTCTTCTCATAAGAGTAGGCCGTAGCGCCACTGTCCGAGCACCATCTCCCCTCATAGTACAGTGTACACCCATCTTCATTAGCCTAGTCGGTGCAGACAAGTGAATGTTAAACCCCATTTGGGGAAAGAGGGGGACTTAAAATGGGTTCTGCCTGTCATACTTTTTGGGACACAATAACTCTTGCTTCTGAGACAGAAGGTTCAGACTAGATCCATGTTCTCTTAATTTAAATGGGTTCAGCTCTCTCTAGAGCACACACAACAGGGTTCTAGACCCCCCACCCGAAAATTTGGAAAAATGGAACGCTGCTGCCCTGACTAGATGGATCAGGATTAACTATTTGATTGATGGTCACGGTTGAAAAGATGAGATGAGAAAACATTAATTGTTACTTGGGTTGAGGGTAGCCCGTCATTTCGGTCCCGGTCATTTCGGACTCGGTCTGACTCGGTCAGAAGGCCTCCGGTGTGATGCTTGTCATTTATGGCAACATCGTACCTGTGATTCCGGTACGTAATGAAAAAAAGTATATTTTATAAGATAAATGAATACCCGACTGAAGCTATTATTTCATCAAATAAATATTCCCGTTGTTATTAATGTATGGTCTGTATGGGATAAATAACGTGCGTAATAAGCTGGTCGTACACGATCAAAGAAAATTTAACAAATTTTATTTGACGGTCTCTTCAAATTTTCTTTGACCGTGTACGAAGCCAGCAAATAAATTTGCCCCTGCGTCGAAAAATGAAAGTGAAATCAATAGATTTAGATGCGTGCATAGATTTGTGGCAAATTTATTTGACGGCCTATCGTACACGAGCATAAGTTCCAAATCTTTGACACATTTATTTGACGAAAAGCTATGCATGCCAGCTTTTGTCAAATCTCATATGGCAAATTCCCTCTCGTACACGAGCAAATTTATTTGACAAATCTCCATTTGTCAAAGAAAATTTGCTCGTGTACGACAGGCTTAAGGTCTGTATGGGATAAATAAAACACAACTAACAATGTTTAATTTCTTTATTATTGTGAATGGTCTGTTTTCAGCCTCACCTGAAACGAAAGAAAAAACAGTTATTACAAATATATACATAGAATATACAAATATATTCGAGTCCGAAAAGTCGCCTGACCGAGTCCGAAACGTCACCTACCCGAGTCCGAAATGTCGAGGACATATTTTTTGGAGTCCGAAATGACGCAGGACTGAAATGACATGTAATCGGGTTGAGATGCAGAGCTGTTGACTTGCTCTTACTGTTAGGAGTGGCAAGAGAAATGATAATTTAGATCCTCTATCCAACAGAGGGGGGTAGGATGGTCGTATGGTTAGCGTGCTCGCTGTATCATAAGGGGTGTCATTGAGTCAAAGTCTGACAAGGAGTAGGGTCATCTGTGCAACCTGTCCTCCAGGTTCCTCACACGTCTAAGAGACCTCTACATGCAAGCGAATTATTGAAATGAAATTGATCCATATGTTAGTCCCGAAATGACCTAGTTTGTGTAGAGTGGATGTTAAACCCCATTTCTCTCTTTCTCTATCCTGTGTAGGTTATATGAAGTAAAATTCGTAATAAAAAAAAAATCAAATTATTTCACTTACTGCAGTTTTTTTTATGAAATTTGGACAAATCAGGTACGGTACTAAAAATGTCCACCGATGAAATCCAATTCGTCTAAATAAAACAGTTCTCGACATTAATTGGCGGTGCTTTCCTGAAGTAATTTTTCTTAGTCTGGATAGAGTCATTTGCCCTTGGGTAAATATAGACTAGACTAACTGGTCACAAAAAACGCAAACCATTTTATCAACCTACCTGGATAATCCGGCATTCAATGGCGTGCAAGTCTTAGAAATTCACCGAAGGTGAGGAAATTTGTTTTTATTGCACTGTTATTGATGGATACCTGTCTTTCAGAAATAAAAAATTATCTTAGAAATCCTGAACTTATTCTTGACTATAGACTCTAGCTGCCTATGTTGACTTGCACTAATTACCGAGTGCTTTATTCTTTCCCTTTCTTTGTCTGGTCTGCTACCGGACAAACTAAACTAAATGAAATTAATTGAAATGAAATGGGGTTTAACAGACTAGGCTAATGAAGACGGGAATACGCCATACAGTGTGCTATGAAGGAGATTTTGCCCGGGCAGCGGCACTATGTCTTACTCTTATATCAAATTCCAACTGCCAAGGGATCTTTTACGTGCACGCCAATGTATAGGCCTGCCTAGGCCTACACGGGACATCGCCTTTTCATCTTATCCGAATGACTAGACAGCTGGCCTTGTCAGGCCCTCCGTCCTGCACCACTGACAAGGGAAAACCACGTTGTAAAACCTGGATGAATTTTCTCGCCCAATGCAGGGATTGAACACGCAACCTCCAGACTATCACTTGACTTAGCCACTGTGGCTCCCCCAACTGTTTATTAAAACTGTTTGGGTTTTAAACTTATTTTACTGCATCGTCAAGAAAAGTGTTGCCTAGTCGCTCAGATGAGACAAAAAATAAACATGGTAACACTGTAGTACACTAAGTGGTCCTCTTCTAGCATTTCAGGCAGGGGGGGTCGGATGGGATGGGGGGGGGAGAATGGCCGAACGATTAGCGCAGTGTATCATAAGCTGCAAGGTCTGTCATTGACAATGAGTCAACTGGCGTGGTTTCAATTCCCTGGCTGTATGTGACAAGGAGTAGGTCCTCCATTTTCCTCCCACTGCTAAAGACCCCTATAAATAAAGTTGAACCATATGTTAGTCCCGAAATGACCTAGTGTGTGTCAAGTGGACGTTAAACTCTCTCTCTCTCTTTCTCTTTCTCTCTCTCGTATTGAACTAGCATTCAACTATAGAAAAAATAGTAATCGTATGTTATATCTTATTGTTAGTCCAAAATGACCTAATTCCACCGAAATGTAATTTGTGAAAATTACTTATACTTAAGCATGTGCGTGGAATTCTTTCATTCATTAAAAATATTTGGAGCTCTGCAGCTGGCTCAGTGTATAAGGAGCTAGCTTGCTAACCAGGAGCCACATAGCAACAGTGTCTAGTTGTTCGGATGGTATGATAAATCTCTGCACGTAAAAGAACCCTTGACAGCTGGAATTTGAAATAAGAGTGAGCCATACTCGATTGTATCACTTGTGGAATACTTGCGCAGGGATACATTCTCATGAACAATTGAATAACCTGAGCAGTATTCAATGGTCATTGAGTTCTATCTATTTATTACAGTATTCTTAATTCACTATATCCAGAAGATCGTTTAAATTAATGACATCAAATTTCTAGAAAAGCAATAAATTTATGTTTTCGTATTTTCAGTTTTTATTGAGATGAAACAGCTAGTCAAATGCTGACAGTATAGACCATGGATTCAACTGCAACTATTTCAGTTTTATCTAGAAATTTGTCTGCTCAAACATTAATCAAAAGTGAAGGACATTCTGAAGACAGATTGATGAAGATTATTGATATTTGTGAAAATTACATTTCTGGTCAAAATAAGTCGGTGGAACAAATTGTTTCCCTTTGTTCTAAAATATTTGGATATGAATTTTACTGTAATCAAATAGTGTCTTTTTGTCATCAGATTCTGTCTGATTCCTTGAACAGTGGTAACGCTATCATCAACATCTGTCAGTCATTTTCGCACCTGGATTTATCAGAGACACGGCAAGAATGTGAAGAAAATAAAATTCCTGCACCAATCAAAGTTGACGATATACGACTTGAACCATCTTTTGCCAGTTCAACAACGAGTTTGGATAGCGAGGTAGAACAAACTAATGATTCAAAGCCATTTCAAGTTACAATACCACAGAATAACTTAATCAATGCACAGAAAATCGCGAAGAAGAGGTCACGAAAATCTCTTCCAATGAAATGTAACCTTGAACCTGATGAATTTATACCAAATACGATGTCCTTACCAGTACTGGTTAATCAATCAACAGATATGTCTCTTTCATCCAGTGAAATTACCAGAGACATTCATAAAAATATCTGTGAATCAAACGAAGAAACTTGCAATGATAAGGGACATAACTCTCCAACAAATGATTTTACAGAATTGAAAAATGACGATGAAACACAGGGAAGTGAGGTTGATGATGTTGATGATGACGCAGATGATGATCCAGATTGGATAGAAGTGAAAGAACCAAAAGAAACATCGAAAAAAAAGAAAATCACTTCAGAAAGACCATCAGGTCGTAAAGAAATACAGTGTCAATTTTGTACGAGAAAATTTAAATCCGTCAAAGTTTACAGAGTACACTTAAACGCCAAACATTGGAATTGTGATTGGTCAACAATCGATGAAGAATTCCATAGAAATAAAGAATTCAAATATTCCTGCTCTACCTGTTCCAAGCCATTTAAAACCGAAGCCCTATTAAACCGACACGAAAAGACACACCTGAAAGGAGAGAAGACCAAATGCGATATTTGTAATAAAGTCATGACACAGAAATGTTTAAGGAAGCATCGGCAAATCCACACGGGAGACAGGCGACAATATGTGTGTGAATATTGCGGATCAGTTTTTAAGGATCCTGGCTGTTTAAGATCACATTTATTTAAACATACGGGCGTCAAAAACATAGCGTGTGAGTTCTGTGATTATAAATGTTGTAGAAAGTCCAGCATGCGATCTCATTTTTTGATCATGCATTCAAAAGACCGTAAATATCAGTGTGAACATTGCGGAAAAAAGTTTCCCCGCCCTGGTGGTTTACGGGTACATCTTCTATGTCATGTGACTGAAAAACTGTTCGGCTGTGATGTATGTCCTGCCCGCTTTGCACGACCGAGTCATTTAAAACGTCACAAGACCACACATCGTGAGGATAATCAGTATACGTGTGAAATATGCGGCCATCAGTCTCGACAGGCTTCCAATATCAGGATACACATGAGGACTCACACAGGCGATAAACCATTTTCATGTGAAAAATGTGGTAAAAAATTTGCTCACAATGTGACTCGTAAACAACATTTAAAATTGTGTAACGGAAAAATAGAGACAGAGACAATTGTTAATCAATTATTGTAAATGGAGACAACTGTTAATCAATTATTGTAAATAGAGACAAATGTTAGTCAATTATTGTTAATAGAGACAGATGTTAATCAATTATTGTAAACAGAGACAACTGTTAATCATTTCGATTATTGTAAATAGAGACAACTGTTAATTATTGTAAACAGAGACAACTGTTAATTATTGTAAACAGAGACAACTGTTAATCATTTCAATTATTGTAAACAGAGACAACTGTTAATCATTTCAGTTATTGTAAACAGAGACAACTGTTAATTATTGTAAACAGACAACTGTTAATTATTGTAAACAGACAACTGTTAATCATTTCAATTATTGTAAACAGAGACAACTGTTAATCATTTCAATTATTGTAAACAGAGACAACTGTTAATTATTATAGATAGAGACAACTGTTTGTCAATTATTGTAAACATGTATATTACAGAGTTGGAAACAAGTAGCGGACCAGGAGGCAGAGTAGAGTCCTAGTTGCTAATTTTAGTACTGAGTTGAGTTGCAAGTCTTCACAAAGTCACGTTCATCAAATCAGTCTGCAATTCATGGCGAATAAGGCCAGTTAGAGTCTTAAGTCAGACTAGACTCCAAGTTGTGGGAGTCAAGTTCCCACCTATGGTATATTGCAGATACCGGTATATATATATATATATATATATATATATATATATATATATATATATATATATATATATATATATATATATAATTAACAGTATTAATTATAGTTTGTTCATTGTTGATGTAAATATTTTTGTTTAATTGCTAGTTATCCCCATTTTAAGATTTGAGGTATCTACACATGATAGATATAAAACACCTGCCCTATTGAGATTAGTACCTGTCTACCTGTCTGTTTATTTGCATGCCTGAGATAAATACTGTTATGTACATGTATGTATGGATATAGTTAATGTATGTAACTGTTTGTTACTGGGTCTATACGGTTGGTTATCTTGTTTTACTGTGGCCGAATGGTTAACGCGTGCACACTGCATCATAAAGTCTGTCTTTGGATCAACTGGCGGGGTTTCAATTCCCTGGTTGTACATGACAAGGATTAGGGTCGGCTGTCCAACCTTGTGGATTTTCTCTGGGTCCTTCGGTTTTCTCCCACTGCTAAATTGAACAAATGTTAGTCCCAAATGACTTAGTTTGTGTAGAGTGGACGTTAAACCCCATTTTGCTCTCTCTCTTTACTGTAGAAAGCAGTGCTTGGAACGATGAGAATTTTCTGCTTAGGTTAATTGCTGTGTGTGAAATAGCTTTATTTAATGCCCGCTTCCGCCGAGGTGTTATCGCAGACAAGGTTAATTGCTACCGTTATTATACTTTATAAAGAGGAAAATGTGCAAGTATTTAATGAATGTCATCTATTTATTTTAGGATTGAGACAGGGTATGTCAGATTTACTGTTGGCTTGTCTAAATTGTCAACCTGAGATGGTTATTTCATTCGAATTATATTAATGTATTTACATGCCATGTTTCCACAATGTACAAGTTGTATACAACCTTCCTATCTGTAAGATATATGTGAGTAGCGCTAGAGTGAAATACATGTACCTTAGACCATTATTATTATGTTTAAGACAAAAGTGAGTAGTGCTAGAATGAAATATCCCAGACCATGTGATTGTTTATTATTATCTGTAAGACAAATGAAGAGTCCAGGGGAAGAACGGTATAAGTCACATTTTTGTCTTTTCGCATAAAAGGCAAAACAGACTTTTAGACGAGAATACTTGATGCGAACAGAACAACGAATGGGTTTAATTACAACTTCAAAATGATGTTTAATACGAATCATAATTACCAGTACAACAACTGACTTCCACTTTTCAGCCAAATTAAGGTCAAATAAAGGGTACGATGGACGTATTTGTCCGGGAGGCCATTTCTGAAGGGCTTTGGTTCGATGTGACTCTGAAATTGATTGTTCCACAGAAAATTTATACAATTTGTTACCAGATGGCGCCATTAACTGGGGTTCGTTGAAAAAGTGACTTAGATCGTTCTTCCCTGGGACTCTTCAAATGTGAGTAGTGCTAGAGTGAAATACACCAGATCATGTGATTGTTTATTATTATCTGGGTATAGAATAAGTTTGTGTAATCTTTATATATCAGATAAATTGATGTTGTTAATGTTTTTGTTTTGTGTTATTTTAATTCTAATGTCGACAATGTCAGGCATAAATGCAGACTGTTGTCAGGTACCCCCCCTCCCTCTCCCCGGGTCATCTTGTCTGGCACAGATCTGAGGTTGTTTTTTCAGTGATTTTAATGGATATTATTAAGGGTAGAATGATTTACCCAAATCTCCCCCAAATCCACCATTATTTCAACTCGTATATATATCAATCTATATTTGATGATATACCGTTCTTTATTCCAAATTGGCAATTTTAATTTACAACCTTAAGGTTTTTGTGTCAAAATGCCCCTCAAAATGGTATTTCCAGGGAAGTTTGAAACTTGTAACCAAATCCACTATTATTTAACTCCCATTACAATAATTTATATCGATATTTTATAATATACCGTAATTTATGCTAAATTGTCATATTTAACTGAAAATTGTAGCGTTTTTTAGTTTGTTGAAAATGCCTCGCAAAATGCAATTTCGAAGCAGGTTTGGAAATTGTAACCAAGGGGCATGACTCGTGTATTGTACGAAATTGCTTCTTTGGAAATTTTATTATGAGGGACAAAATTTAAATTAAAAATGACAATTTGGCATAAAGAACAGTATATTATCAAATACGGATATAAATTATAATACGTTGAAATAATGGTAGGTTTGGGTAAATCGTGTTACCGTGTAGGCCAATCATTGGCTTAGGTTATAGATATAAATATAACAATTGACAGTTGGCAATCGAAGGAAGAGTAGGCCTAGGAGGAAGCTAAATCTATTTGTTAAGGCCGGCTCAATTTTTGTGAAGGTCGTTAAGGTGTAAATAAGGTTTGGGCAGTGATTGTTGGCGAGATTATAGGTTAGGGTATAAGTATAAGCATTGGGGCCAGGTGCAGGGTTAGGTTTAGGATTAGCACTAGTCCTGTTCACATCGCGTGACCTAGATGACGAAAAATTTAGCTGGCCTTATCATTTAGTACTAACCGGAGGAGGGGTAAACACTGTCGCCCCGAGAGAATTCTACTTCCTCACGTTGCTCATCATATAAATAAAAATTCTGGAACATACCCAGAAATATGTGTGCTTTAGGCCATGGGTAGAAGCTGAATGCAATTTTGGCGTCGGAGAGAAAAAATAATCTTTTCGAAAGATAAAAATGCGAGATGTTATGGGTTAAAGGGAAACAACCGAGTTTTTTCTAGTGATAAAACTGTATTACCTCCCCTGTATTGTATCTGCCTCTATTTGCACGGAAGGTGAATATGCAAATGAATATGCAGTAATAAATATATTAACTTGAATGAATTATGTTTCTATTCATAGAATCTGTTGTCAAGCACACTCACAGCAGATACTGTTGTCATGGACGTCCATTGTCGTATAATCTGTTTTATATAATATATTAAATACCATACCGGGTAGTTGAAACTGAGATTTCACGAATTCAATGAAATAATTGTGTAGAATTAAAGGAGTACGGCGGTTTGATACAGAACACCTGTACATATATATTGATGCATAAATATGGCCGTATAATGTAAGTGGTGTTTGTATTGTCGGTTGCCATGGTACCTTTGTAAATGTTGCAACTGTAGACGGGATAGCCTACCCTGTAAATTCGGCAATGGACTCCGGAGACCAAAATATGACACAGTCGAGCAGACTTTCATCATGCAAAGGTTGAGGGTGGCTGCGTAGGCTAGGCTAGATATCAAGACAGGTTTCGATTGGTGGCTAATAGTATTTTATACATTGGGAATAGACCTACACCTCCATAGTCGCAGGTAGCTACGGATACCATCAAAATGATTCTGTAACATTATTACGGACATTTTTCCTCCGGCCACGGGTGTTGCTGGGTTTTGGTCCCATGTGCCCAAACCCTCTCATTAGACTTCCCATCGAAGGCATGCATGTTCGCCTGGGCAAAGAAACCCACACAAAAAATCCTGCCTTATTGATAGGTTGTGGTGGAATACCCCTGATAATGTTATTATAACTTGGGGGAAGCCACGGTGGTTAAGTGAGTAAGAAATGAAATGAAATGGGGTTTAACGTCCTACTGTTCTGCTCCTATACTGGGCTAATGAAGACGGGCATACGCCATACAGTGTGCTATGAGGGAAATTTTGCCGGGCAGCGGTACTATCGCCTACTCTTATATCGAATTCCAACTGCCAAAGGATCTTTTACGTGCATTCCAATGTATACACGGGACCTCGGTTTTTCGTCTCATCCGAAGGACTAGACAGCTGTCCTTGTCAGGCCCTCCGTCCTGCATCACTGACAAGGGGGAACCACGCCGGAAAATCTGGATGAACTTTTCTCGGCCAATGCAGGGATCGAACACCCGACCTCCAGGCTAGCGAGCCAGCGTCTTACCCACTTAGCCACGTGATCCCCAAGTGAGTAAGAAGTTGGCTCGCTAGTCTGAAGGTCGCGGGTTCCATCCTAGAGTTGGCCGAGAAAGTTGACCGGGATTGTCCGGCTTGTCAGAGGTGCAGGATGGAGAGAGCCTGACAAGGACAGCTGTCTAGTCATTCGGGTGGGACAAAAACTCAAGGTCCCGTGTGCACATTGGCGTGCACGTAAATGGTCCCTTGGCAGTTGTAACTCGATATAAGAGTAGGATATGTCTCCCATAGCACACTGTATGGCGTATCTTCATTAGCAGAGCAGTAGGACGTTAAACCCCATTTCATTTCATAATTTCGTAATTTGGAACACTATCTGAAGGGGTGCTGTATGGCATATCTTCATTAGCAGAGCAGTTGGACGTTAAACCCCATTTCATAATTTCATAATTTGGAACACTATCTGAAGGGGTGCTGTATGGCATATCTTCATTAGCAGAGCAGTTGGGCGTTAAACCCCATTTCATAATTTCGTAATTTGGAACACTATCTGAAGGGCTGCTGTATGGCATATCTTCATTAGCAGAGCAGTTGGACGTTAAACCCCATTTCATTTCATAATTTCATAATTTGGAACACTATCTGAAGGGGTGCTGTATGGCATATCTTCATTAGCAGAGCAGTTGGACGTTAAACCCCATTTCATAATTTCGTAATTTGGAACACTATCTGAAGGGCTGCTGTATGGCATATCTTCATTAGCAGAGCAGTAGGACGTTAAACCCCATTTCATTTCATAATTTCGTAATTTGGAACACTATCTGAAGGGGTGCTGTATGGCATATCTTCATTAGCAGAGCAGTTGGACGTTAAACCCCATTTCATAATTTCATAATTTGGAACACTATCTGAAGGGCTGCTGTATGGCATATCTTCATTAGCAGAGCAGTTGGACGTTAAACCCCATTTCATTTCATAATTTCGTAATTTGGAACACTATCTGAAGGGGTGCTGTATGGCATATCTTCATTAGCAGAGCAGTTGGACGTTAAACCCCATTTCATTTCATAATTTCGTAATTTGGAACACTATCTGAAGGGGTGCTCGGATTTAAAGGGAATGGGGGTGGGGTCGCAATA